AGGGAGAGAGAGAGAGAGAGAGAGAGAGAGAAGGTTGGAAAATTACCCAAGACAGGCTTTGTTTATAACTGATCTAGTAGAAGGGGGGAGGGTGTAGAAAGGGGGTGAAGGACGGACAGAAGGAAAGCTAGAAAAGGAAGAGGTAAAAGTGTAAAGAGCCGATGTATTTCCAGAGGGAGGGTATGGCAAGGCGAATGTGCATATATATATATATATATATATATAGATCTGGCTATTTATTGCTCCAACCCCAACTCCAACTACAAGTAAAGTACCCATCAGCCAGCAGATATTTCCTCTCACCAACATGTCAACATGAGCCCCAGGATACTCGTGTAAGCTAAGCGAACTAGCCCCCTTTTGATAACAAACAGAAATATTTCTCCGAGTCTGACACTCCAGGAAAGATGCAGAGATAAAAATCTGATCTAGTAGAAAGTACAGAAGGTGAACTTGATTCAGTCCACAAAGTCGACAAAGCCCTTCAACCCATCAATCAGAGATGCATCGAAATCGTTGACCCAGTCAGGGACCACTGATGCATTGGATATTTTCGCTGGCGTTACATGTGTGACCCGGCGGTGTTTGGTCTCCGGCGATGAATAAGCGGAAAGAGGTCTCTTCGCCCTGTTGATCCCAGAGCTCGAGCTTGAAACTCGGTGCTGCTGCTTGTCTGCTGACGGGGAGGCAGGGTTTGATATGATATCAACGTCATTCTCAAACGCGGCGAAATCAAACACGTCGTTATAGAAGCTCGAAGCGACTTTTGGCGTCGAAGGCTTGACGGATATGGGTTCAGGGAGGCTGAGGGGTGCAATACCGGTGGCATCGCGTGGTAAATCGCGATAGGAAGTTGGCTGGTTGGGTGTTGTGCCGAGACTGCGGGATGCAGCTGAGATGAGGTCGCGGGGTGTGGTTGGGACTTCTGTGAAGGGGTCATCGTCGGAGCCAATGTCGAAGAATTCCTTCTCATCAAGGTCACGGAGGAGAGCAGATGGTGACGGGAACTCGTTGTCTATATCATCCTCACCCTGGACACTGTCTGAGGGTTTGGATGTCGAAGCCTGGCCATTGTTCAGGAACGGAAGATTCGGCGAGATCCCATCGGCATAGGAGAACTTGGGTTTTTGCGTCAAGCGTTGACTGGCTTTGTCTGGCTGGATGCTGGTGTGGAGTTCATGGAGTCTGCGGTAATCGCGTGGAGCCATCTTTGAATAGGAGACAGGGGATAGGACGTCGGCGAGGTTGATAATCTCCACGTCCTCGAGGTCTGAATCATCATGATTGCTGCTAAGCTTGAGCGTGGGCTGGAACAGATGTCAGATAGAGATACAACGCGCGATGAATTTGCCAACCTGAGACTTCTGCAAAGCTCGAGGCTTGGCAGAACCAGCTCCTGAGCTTGTCTTCTGCGACCTCTGTTAGTAGAATTCTTGATGTATGCGGTGGATGCAATGGATATACCTTCTTCTCGGGCTTCCCGCCTCCAGTATTAGCTGTTTCACTTGTCTAGCGGGGATTAAGCCCATCTTCAAAACCCAACAACGGTGGAAGGTATTCATACCTTACTTGCAGAGGCCTCCTCGCCAATACCTGCCAGAGAAACCTACCCCAAGTCAGCTACTCAATGATCACAACAACAAATTCATAATCACAAACCTTTCTCTTTGCCTTACGAGGCTTGTCCAGTCCTTCACGGCAGCACAAATGCTTGCAAGATTTCCCATTCTTCAACAACTTGCCATCCCGACAGATATGATTGCAAGTCCACTTGCCATTTGCCATCTGGAACGGTTCGTGAAACTCAGGTTCTTTCGTCACCTTGTTCTTCTTAGTCTTCTCCGCCGCCGCCGCTTTGGAGAGCATCTCAGCCTCCTCGATATCGATGAAGTCATCTGAGCCGTACCCGTCATCCTTTTCCCTATCGGCCTGCGTCTGCGTTTCTACATGCGGAGGCGAAGTGTCAACGCCGGTGACAGCCGCCAGCATGTCATCATCCTCAACATCGTCATTGCCGAACTCATCCGCATCCTTGAGAAGTGCTTCCTTGAGAGGTGCTCTCTCGTGGCTAGGCTGCGTCTCCTTGCTGGCCCTTTCGGGAGCAGAAGCTGGTGGAAATTCTGAAGATGGGATCTCATGCTTCAGAATGAAAGACTTCACAGTACCGACAATCTCGTCGCAAGCGATCCAGCACTTGATATTAACATCGGGTGAGAGCAGATCCACAAAGAACTTGAGATTGAAGTCTTTCTCCAGCTTGGAAACGTTACCACGCCAGAAATGGAACATCTTGCCATCAGTCGTCTCAGCCATGAATGTCAGGGATGGTTTTCTACCTTGCCAAACTGGGATTTGAGCATTGCTATACCACATACGAGCCTTGACATGAACTCTAGGAGCCTTGTTCTGCTTGACGAGCACCCTTCCCACGAGCTCTGCGGCAACTCTCAGTCGAGGGAAGCCCGCAATCGAGTCTCGCGTCTTCTTGCCAAATGGAGGATTCTTTGAAATGATACGTTCGATCGATCCGGTATCTAGATTTCCCAACTCCTCGACGCTGTGTATGTTGTTGCTGACGAGTTTCCGCGTGGCAACAGGGCCAATCTGCGGAATCTGTCTCAACTGTAGATTGGAGTACTCCCAGAATTCTGCGGATAGACTTCGTGCCAGATCAAGAGCGTGACGAGTCGATATAGAATCTTCGTCATGTGCTTTGCAGTCAATAACGCAGCGTACGAGGCGCTGAATGCGTTCGAAGATAATGCTCTTATCAGTCCCAAATTGCCTTTTGACGGCGATGAACTCTTTATCCGTAGGGTAGTCAATACCGCCAAGCTGAACCTGGATGAGCAATGAAACCTTGTGTGGTGTAGTTGTGATGGTTTCCTTGATAGGGAATTTAATAAAAGGGGACTTGTTAAAATCTCGGAGGATGGGTCGTTCGGCTGGCTTCATGCGGAGGTCTTTAAACTCCGCCGCTTGACAGAGAATATGGAGCTGATGATGTTAGCATCTCTCTCAAGTCAAAAGCAGCGGAGCGTATTCTTACAATCTGCTCCGTCTTAGCATGTAGTGGGATACTCAGAAGAAGCTTCATCGTTTCGAACTGAACCATGTATCGAGACATAGCCACGCCATACTCGGTGCAGCTTATCCGGTCATTAGCGGTTACTAGCTGATGTTCTTGGAGAAGCTTGATGTCTCTCTCACAAACTTGCTCCAGTCTACTATCAGCGTCTCCCCCGGGAGTGACGCCGTCAATCTTGTAGTAGTTTGGATTTTGGCGCATGCGAACGCTGAGGAAGGTACCGCAAAGCCACTTCTTCGCATCGTATGTATTTTTGATAGTGCCGAGACTGATCTCGGAGTTCAGATGCTCGATGAGGTTCAGATGAAGTGTGCTTTCGAGAACGTCTTGACCCGACATCATCTTTTTATATCGATCTACCTTGTCGGATCGTGTCATGATGACTGCCACTGCACTGTCATCGAATTGAGGACGACCAGCCCGTCCAAGCATCTGCATGACTTCCAAGTCAGAATACTCGGTAAGGCGGCCATCTTGGAAGCCAACTGTTCCTTTCAGAACCACGAGGTGGCAAGGAAGGTTGACTCCGACAGCCAGTGTCGACGTACAGCAAATGATATTGACGTCCCCTCGTAAGAATGCATTCTCAACCGCAGCACGATCCTGAGGATCCAGACCAGCATGGTGGTAGGCAACACCACAGCTCACCAATTCCCTTAGTTCTCTGCTGCTGACAGGCACTGTCTGCGATGGTTGTGACCAAGCGCGATCCGAAAACTTCTGTCTAGTCCACCATTCCGCCATCATGGTGGCAGTACCCTCACAGGACTTTCTCGTAAAGCAGAAGACCATGATTGGCTTTTTTTGACTGTACTGCTTGATCAAATTCGGCAGTTTCCCATCCAAGAATTTTTCGAATGCAAAATCGTTGAAGTTGCCATCAAAACCGTGGACGTGCTTCTGAAGCTTGACAGGTCTGAACTCTTCGCCAAAAGTCTCTCGGTGGGCCGGAATCTGGTGATTCGTATGGTCTCTACCAAGCCAGGCAGCGATATCCTCCGAATTAGGCACTGTGGCACTCAGTGCTACAAATCGTACGCTCGCACCGATGGTCTTCATGCGAGAAACAACCGCTTCTAGTGTCGCGCCTCTGGTATCCTTCAGGATGTGGACCTCGTCTATGAGGAAGAGCTTCACCATCTGAACGAGCTTCTGATGATCGCTCCACTTGCGAGTGATGCTGTCCCACTTCTCTGGTGTCGTCACGATGATTGTTGCATTTCGAACTCGAGCCATCTCGGCCTGGCTAGTATCGCCAGTCAACTCGGCACATGGAAGATTAAGATGACTGAATTTCTTCGACCAATCACGCATACGCTCAGAGCACAGTGACTTTGTAGGAGCTTGGTAGACGATCTTGAACTGGCCTGTACTGTAGCCTTCGACAACCCTACAGATGGCCAATTCGAGGAGAGCAGTTTTACCACTGCCTGTTGGAGCCGAAACCACCACGTTGTCATTGGTCTTGTAGATTGGAGCGAAACACTTCGACTGGGCAGCATTGAACAGCTCGTAAGGGAATACTTGACGAAATCGATCAGGAAGTTCCTGTGGGGAGACAAGCTGAATGCCATGGGCGATAGGCGGTGCATGGCTAAGTGCAAGTGGCCGAGGGGTGTACTTTGTGGTTGGGTAGAGAGTTCGTTGTTGAGGCGTCTGGGGATAATTATAATTTTCAGCATCTATTATGTCCGCATCCATGATTTTTTCTATCTGAGGGTACCGGGGCTTGGGAGCACTGCGGTTCGAAGCTCTACGGAGACTGATTCTGGCCGTTGGGCTTGAACCCTGACCAACAAGGGGAGACGAACTTCGCGAGCCTTGAGCTACCGCTGGACTGTGAACAAAGCCACCTGAACATATCAGAGGACGCCTAATAGGAGCCAGAGAAGGACTTACTCAGATTGAAAGGAGGAGTAGCCTGTTTTCGCTGCCGCTGCAGTTGGTTTAGTCTGTTGCTGCTGTGCAATCCCTGGTAGAAGTCGGGCTGCCCAAAATTGTGCTGCCTCTGTCCCATTGATGGCTGCATCAGCATGTCATGATCCAGTTCACCGTTCGAATCCATCGACATCGAACTGTCAAGGTCCAACTGTCCCTGGCTGAATGGCATGTCCTGGTGTATGTTCTGTTCAATCTGTTGTCTCAAGGGCATTCGCTGCTGTGTCAACATGGCATTGACGAGCGGACTAATTGGATCCCCAGACAGCACATTTTTCTGTCTGGACAGAGCCTGGTTGAGCGCTACACCGTTCCGCAGATTCTGGGCGAATCTAAAGTGGTTGTCGGCGTTACTGAGAGTTCTAAGCTCGGGTGCAGGTTGGGGCCCAGGCTGGCTGTGCATGCTTCGAGGAGGGAAAGTGAGTCTTGTCCGGTTTGTGCTAGGTGCTGCCATCGACTGGCTTGTATGTCCCAGATCCAGACCTGTCAGGAACGCAAGTTAGATTGCTGATCCCGAGAAAGAAGGGCAGAGCAGACACGTACCGAAGCTATTGCTGGCTGCTGCCATCGACTGGCTCGCATGTCCCAGATCCAGACCTACTAGCAACATGTTAGCCTCTCGCCCACTGTCTTCTACTTTCCCAGCCTGCACACTGACCGAACTTGTTCCCGAATCCCACAGGTTCTTGCGTTGGCTGCTGCTGCTGCTGTTGCTGCTGCTTCAATCCAGGACCAGGCCCAAACCTCCATTCAGGAGGGTCGCGCTCACCAGGTCCCTGGGTGAGACCGGGTGAACATCCCTGCGGGAGGTCGTAGGATGCTGCATTGTGAACGATACGCTGAATGTGACGGTGTGCTGATTGTCTGTCCATCATGTGCTAAGAAAGAGATGTAGTCGAGTCGTAGAGCTCTTTAGAGAGAGTCGGCGCGGGACGATAGGTAACCGAGATAGACGGACAATTAAGAAACAGACAGGATAGGAAAGAAATAGAAAACATTCGTCGGGTATACGTCTCGCGGCCTCCACAGAAGACGTCTAGAGATGTGCGGCGTGAACCATAGGTGCAGACCAAATCTCCGAATGAAGTTTAAGTGATGTGGAAGAAGTTATGTTATGAAGCCAGGGAAGTTCAGGCGGACAGGTGCGGCAGAATTCCTGGCATTCTAACCACGCTCCTGCCTGCCCGGGATGGAAGGCACAGGTTCTAATACCCAAGCATAGGTACAGCACAACATAGCGACAAGCTCGCTAACTGAAAATGGATATGGTCTTCCAGATCCGAGCTTGTCTGATTGTGCCATCCCAAAGTGATAGGCGAGGCTGGCTTCGGGGCACTGCAAGAGCCAATGCTATGATTTTCTCAGGTCAAGACAGTAAGAAACATAGAACAAGACAAAATTATATTGAAATGCGGTGGGGATATGCCACTTTCCTGTTTACCCACGTGATGCCATCAAGTTTTGCCCCTCCAATTCAGAACCACCAGCCGGCAGCCTCGCTATCCCAAGCTCCCGGCATGAAAACCCAAGTTTACACTCCCACCAGGCGCCCAAACCATGCATAATATGAACACCGTCTTCCCCGGATTGTTCCCACCGGCCGTTTCCCCCCCTTTTCACTGTTGCCTGAACACAATCTTTCTCGAACAAGCCCATAGATTCTACAACATTCCTTTCTTCACAAGCTGTGTCGTGATCAATCATCGCGCTTTATCTTTCCTCGTGAGGAGCCAACTCGCGAGTGGTGTCTCAATGGCGAGCTGGGCCGCGAAGAAGAGAGCCCGGCCTGCTTGAGGCTATCTAGGGGGTCGGCTTTTGGCAACAACATGTTCTCCTCGAGTTTGGGGGTGTACCCGTGGTCGACTGTCGTCTTCTCGTAGCTTGCGATGTTGATGGGGGGTGGTCTGACCCTCTTTCGGTCGGGACCGCTGTATAGGTATGTTGCAAATATCACAATTGCGGTACCGAACACAAACTAGTATCCGTCAGTAAGTTTGATATGTCTTGGGGTCGAGGAGACTTGCGTTGAGGGTAACCTGGAACTCGAAAAATAAGACGCTGAACAAAAAGCTGAGGATGATGCTGATGGACGTAGCAAAGTTCTTGGCAATGTTGTCCGCGTAGTTGATGCACAAGGCCACCAGCATACCACCTATCGCTTGGAAGGTGATTGCCGTCCACACCACCGCGTTATAGCCATCGAAGAAGCCTTTCTGTGCAATCTCCTCTCCGTCCATGAAGATGACCCCAACGAGTAGAGCCGGGAATAGCGAGTAGAAGGACAGCTGAATATTGCGGGTCCAGACGCTGGCATGCTGCGTTCCTTGCTTCAGCACTTTCTCAAAGTATACACCCGTCAAGCCAGATATCACCGCCGCGACCAGAACCGCAGTAAGGCCTAGCGAGTAGTTCATAGCCGGCTTAGTGAGGCCCATATCCTCTTGGATGCCCTCGTATGTTGCGGACCGCTTCGTAAGTCCCTCTGAGAGCCCCTCCATACCCCGTCTCGTCAACTCCCTCGCCACCTCCCCAGCCCCGTTCGTTAATTGTCCCAGTTCATGGAAGGATCTTGGGAAGAAGAGCCGCGAGGATGAGTCCGTGATGGGCGCATAGGCATTAGAATCGCTATTCGGCATCTGCACAATAGCCACTCCAAATGTCAACAGCACCAGCGAGGTCCATTTCTTCGAGGAGAGCGAGCGTCCGAGCATCGTGACACTGAATAGAGCCGTCGTAAGAATCTGCATTCCCGTCAGCTGGATTCCGCATAGCCTAGAGAAAGCCCATACCTTCAACTGATACAGAATCTGAAAATGCACCGCGTCCAAGTTGCTGACCGCGACGTATTGTAGCGAGTTCTGTAGCGTGTACAGCACCGCGGGAATCGCCAACTTCCACCCATCCCCCGAGAAGACCGAATTATACAACTGTTCGAAAAGCACCGTCGCGGGCGTGGAGGGAGGCAGCGTCTGCGAGATGTCGTACATGGCTATCGTCAAGGATACAGCCAGCTTGATGACCTCATTGAGAAACACAGCTGTGGATGTGAAGTATCGGTGGCCGCCTACCGAGGGCATGATCCTCGAGTAATGCATAATCTGCAGAGCCTGTCAGTCATGATTGCCTACATGCAGGATGCGAGCAAGCTGAAGGGGGTGCATACTAGTATTAACGCGGAATTTTGCACTGTGAGCTGCGCCCATTAGCATGATGCCGACCATTGTCACGGCTCGCACCTCGACATACAGTAATGAGCGAGACGTGCTTCATCGGCACGCCCATGAAGCTCGCCTTGCTCGGCGCATCGTAGGCCATAATATCGGCGCCCCCAGGCGGTCCACCCTAGCTTCCGCTCTCTCTGTCTCCTCGTCCTTCTCGGTGCCTGTCCTCGATATCTCTCGTTCCCAGCAACAAGAAAGAATGGATTTATATGTCGTAGATCGGCCGCTCTTCTATCTCTCGCGTATCTTGTCCTGTGGTATGGTATGGTATGGTATGGTATGGTATGGTATCGTGTGGTATCGTATCGTATCGTATCGTATCTTATTGTATCGTATCGTATCTTATTGTATCGTATCGTATCGAAACGTATCTTTATTGTATGGCGTGTATTCGTCGGAAAAGGGCTCGTCGCTGGAAAAACAGCCCTACGTGTGGGGTTTTGGGGTCTAGCTACTAAGTACCTACTAGCTGTCGACGATTTCAAAAGCGGGTCGCGATCGTGCCGACCAATCGCTTGTGCAGAAAGGAGAGCCCTACGCCAGCTTTAGGTTTTGAAGGAAGCCACAGCACGACCAGTTGTTTAAATCAACTCGCGCACATACGGTACGGTACGGTAGTTGTAGTACAACCACCAGCGTGAAGAAACCAAAAAAAACAAAAAAAAAATTACGGTTCTGGAAGGTGTCCAATTACGATCCGTAAACAGCGACAGGAACACCAGACTCAGCCTAAATTTTCAAGCATGCTGTAAACTCTAATACTAGCTACCTAGGTACCTCCAAGAGACGGGTGGCTTAGTCGGAAAAAGAATGAACAGCGACAGCCCGGTCTGACGCGGTCCAGTGGTGCTGTCCTCTGTACGTGGCCCAATGATATCGCCGTCGGCTGGACCGACCGCAGCAGGCTGCAAGCCATCGAGACTCAAAGCCCCGGTGGTGCGGGCATGCGTTAGCTGGGAGGACAGACCTCCTCGAGGCTACGTACTATTGGTGTGAATCTGGGGAAGTCGTCGGGGGCCAGTCAGCTGCTGCTTGTGTTGTTGATATATCAAGCGAGGATGGCAGCATGAAGAAGGGGGACTTCACAGAATATTTCATGTCACATAAGTACGTATCTTTGGGTACAATGATTAGTAGACAGCTTGAAGAGGTTTGGGACAATTTACAGGTGTATGGATAAATCAGAGACTCTATCTGCAGATGGCTACTACCTACCATAGTTCACGTCACGCAGGCGAAGATCTCGGAATCCTGAGTCTCGGAGCAGCGTGGAGATGATGGCACCCCTCTCCATCTATTTGCAGTATGCCACATGTATGTACATTACATAGATCAGAATGCGTTCCATCATATCGTTCCATAACGCGCGCTGATCAGATACGTGTCCGCTGCCCATAAACGCGCAACATCTGTAAAGGGAAGAAATTTTCGGGGTATAAATCGTGCCCTCCGTAAACATTGAAAATTATAACAAAGGAAACAGGGCATTAGCTCTATACAGCAGAACAGGATGCGTGCTCCCCAATCCAGACTTGCTCGCAACGTGGAACATTACATTACATTCACGTAAGTCACCTCGGGCTCTCCATCGTCGACCAGGGGGTTGTCCTGGCTAGCGATCCTCCCTTCGTCGACGAACCGGACACCGGTGCTCCGCTTCTCTTTCCCGGTCGATGCGAGTCCCGAAGATCGGTCCGGCTTGAATCCGCGAGACGCACCCACGGCGCTGAGTCTCGCGGCAGGAAGCGACAGGGGGTATCTTGCCTCCTGCCGCTGAGAGGGCGCAGCCGAGGAATCCGCGCGAGCTTTATCCCGCCGGGAAGGCACCCAGCTTTGTCTGGGCGTCGAGTCGTCATCTGAGGCGAAGCTCAAAACCTCGTCGAGGTCAGGGGAAGCTTCACGCTGGTCGGCATGTTGGAGCCTGGGCAAGGGGGTATCGAGATATAAAAGGATCGCTTGTTGTTTGGGGGATGGTTGGCGGTTAGTGTTGACAGAGCCTCGTGCTGAGAGGTGCGAGGCGTGGGTTTCGACTACTTGAGGGGGGTTTGTGATGGATTCGTGCTCTTCGATAATCTCTTCGCGCATGCGGGACCGTTTCTGGCGAAGGGCCTCGAGGAGCGCTTCCTCTTGCTCGGTCACGGCCATGAAGCGGCTGGTCATGGAGCCAGGTGACGAGGGTGGACTTACTGAGTTCTGTAAGGACTGTGTAGAGGTGGTTGAAAGAGTCTTGGGAAATTGAGAAGATCGCCCTGATCTGATCGATGAAGACATGTCGGGAGATTTTGTAGTAGGAAGTCTGGTGGACTGATGGCTAGAGGGAGAGGGTGTGCCTTGCGAAGGTGGAGGCGAAGGTCCGGGCTGGCGGTTAGTAGAGCGCTCGCCCACCGCCAGACATGGAGCCTCGTGCGGTCTGACCATTCGCTGGCCATGGGGTCCAGCTGTTGGGCCACCTGGTTGCTGCTGCATGAAGGATAGCTTGCTGTCCCTGGGTAGCGGAAACGCGTCCATGAGTAAATCTTTCTTCGATTTGCCTCTCGATGACAGTCCAGTGGGCAATTCATCGTCCGATTCATCCTCGGTGTCTGACGATAGCGACAGAAAGGCGCTCTCCTCTAGTAAGTCATGGGAAACTATACTGCCCGCAGTATTCATTGACGTCCTCGTATTGCGACTAGATATACTAGCAGCACTGGTAGAGTCCCAGGGTGAGGGTACTAAAATGGATGAGGTCAAGTTTTGGGGATGGAAATTCGAAGATGCCAGATCCGGTGCGGTAATGGAACGGACCTTGCTCCTGGGAAATAGCTCCCATTCTGGCGCGTTCAAGCTTGGCTCGGCATGTTTCGTCGAATCTGAAATGGAAGTAGCCATTGAACTGGCATAATCCACGCCGTTCTTGGGGCGGTCTCTCGTGTTGAGACGATCCACGACTCTAGATTCCGGTATCTGATCCATGTAAAGAGACGGTGCAGGCGAATTGTCATAATGATCGTAAGAATGGGCATGTGCTTCGTTGGTCTGATACGACGACTTCTCTGAACGAATGCTGAAGTTCCGGGACTGCATCGATTCCCTGGATTGCGACTTATTCAGCTTACGACGTGCCACTTCTGGAAAGAAGGTCGCTATTCGCGGGCCGTCTGCGGAACTCGAAGACAGATTAGGCGACACGTATCCGGAGTCGGGTGGCTTTTCTCCGGCTTTCCGTGATTTGGTGAACAGCGTGGACAGGTGGAGCTTCTTCTTTCTTTCTGGAACTTCGCTCGCGTCGAAGCAGGGCATCTCATTTGGCTGTTTGATGGCCACTCGAAATTGATCATCGAGCTGGTCAAGGGAAACTTCATCCAACAATGGACTCCTCTGGGCAGCTAAAGGGTATTCTTTCCTCAACGCCATGTCCCGAGCAGAAGAAGCCGAGGTTTGCTGAGATATCGACAACGGAATCTTCCGTCGATCGTAGCCGGACCTCAAAGTAGAAGACGAGTCCTTATTCGTCAAAGGTCGGCTCCGATCCGAGGTGGCTGTGATCCCATCCTCCAGGTGCTGCGTTCTGAGTAAAACAGATGAAGCTTTCTGGTTGAGCACATGGTTCCTCGCCAAAGCCTCCGGCTCGTGGCGCCATGGCTCCTGCTCACGAATGCTTCCTCCCGACGAGTCCGAAATCGATATGGTCATGCCACCCGCGGTCGAGCCTGGGAGCCTCCGTGGGTGGATCTCCTCTGGGATTTGCGATGTACCGGTAGTGGAATCGGAGGTAGTACCCAATATCTTCTGTGCCTTCGAGAGACTACCCCCTACCGGTGGAGGCGGAACTAGAGCTGGCGTTGCATCTTTGCGCTTCCTACCCGGGATTGGAAAGGTGAATTTGCTGCTTCGTCCCATCTTCTCGCCGGTTGGGCAGCTGCACAGCCCGTACTCCTCCTCTTTCCTCCACCGTCCCAAGAAGAGTTCGAATAGTTGAAGTCTGGTGGGCCTGTGCTCCGAGACTCGAACTTGTCGCCGCAGATTCGGGACCCGTCAGAGAGACATTGTAGGTAGAGATTGACACGGGGGTGTTGCTCAGCCCGATCGGAGCAGATCTTTTGCAGTGGAGATCGACAGAAAAAGAGCGTAGGTAGGTAGGTAGATGGGTAGGTAGGTAGGTAGGTAGGGAGGTAGGTAGGTACAATAGATCGTCTAGCTGCTGGTCTTCGGTGTGGGTAAGTTCAAGGCTCGTGGTCGAATTGGCCCCTTTCCGAGACAAAACCTGGCCGGGCAGTGGCAGCGGCGCATTCAAGGGTCGGTGGGCGGGTGGGAGAGAGGTTGTTCTTGTAGTAGTAGTAGTGGTAGTAGTAGTAGTAGCAGTAGTAGCAGTAGTAGCAGTAGTAGTAGTAGTAATAGTAGTAGTAGTAGTAGTAGTAGTAGTAGTAGTAGTAAGTAGTAGCAGCAGTCGTAGTAGTAAGTAGTACGGTCTTGTCAATGTAGTAGTATTGTAGGGGTACGGGAAAGTAGGGTGGAGAGGAAGAGGTCGAGCGAGTCCGAAAGTCGGCCAGAGACCCGCGGAGTCCTAAGAGGAGTTTGTTGCTGTGCGCGATGCTCCGTACGGACTCTCCGCACCCCACGCTCGGACAGCGGCCAAGCCCAAACGAATCTTTTCGTCTGGACTCTGGAGTAAGTACAAGGATCATAATAAAGTATATCCATCGTGTACGGGGTAAAGTACGGAGTGGTACATAGAGTACTCTGTATACGAGACGGTGAACTTAAGAAAGCCCGGCCAGAGACGACGGAGGAGGAGGGAGGAGGGAGGAGGGAGGAAGAAAGGAAGAGAGGAAGAAGAAAAAGAAGAGGAAGAAATAGAAGAAGTCGAGGCACCGGATCTCATGTAGACTAAGGCAGCTACGGTACTCGTAGCGTACAGCACTTTGCCCAGCGTACAGTGTGACGGGGTGACGGGGAGACAGGGAGACAGGGAGACAGGGTGACAGGGTGACAGGGTGACGACGGTGTGCATACAGAATATTGTACAAGTATTCCGTATGAAATCGTCTTTTACCCGTCGATACCGAAACGGCCGAAATCAAATCCCGCAGGGATAGGAAGAGTCGATAACGCCGTACAAATGCAGATGCAGATGCAGATGCAGATGCAGATGCAGATGCAGATGCAAATGCAAATGCAAATGCAAGGGAGGCAAGGTACGGTAGTTCTAGACTGGTACTTTACCGCTACGGAAGTACTGTACTTGGTAATATGCGCTCGCTGCAGAAGAGATGCAGCCTTGTGGTTCATTTCGCGCTTCTCGCTTTCAAATCCCCGAGCATACGGAGTAGGTAGGTACCGGTACCTCGTGGAGAAGCACTCAACGAGAATAATCGCAAGTCCACCACATCCATCACCGGCACGCTTTAGGCATCCTGGATCGGCATCTGGGCGGGAGACCAGCAGTCGATCATTCTTTGGAAGTATCAGATAGTATTCGAGTAGTACTACCGGTACGTACTGTACGTACTACTACGTACCTACTTGACCCTAGGTGAACTCTCTACGTGACCAACAGTGGTGGTTGGGTATTAGCATTGACCTCCAAACAAGAGGGAATCGCTGGAAAGAAGAGGGATCCCGCTCCGAGTTACTTAACTCAACATGCGTAAGCAACTCCTGACTTGGGCCCACTTTTACTTAACTGCGCTGGCTCTTACTGTAGTTTTCAAAAAAGGGTTTTCGCAAGGTCTCAATTGACTTGGTCAGTTACTAGTATCTTGACCGAATTCGGTGTAGGAGGCCTTAGCTGGCACTGAGGGGGGTGGGGGGATGGAGGCTGGGAAGTGGAGGATATATTTTCCTTGCAAGGACTCCGCACGGCGAATGCAGCGCCGACGATGGTAATCACAATATAACAAGAGTCGTATAGCACCAGCTCGCAAGCGATTGATGGCTACCGACGTAGTACGACGTAGTATGTCCAGCAAAATGATGATCTTTTTGTTACTAAAAGTCCGAATATAAAAGTATGCAAGTGCACGATCACCCAGGTGGTAGCAAAGTGGTACGACACACACCTCTCCGTTCAAGTCAGGGGAGGGTCAAGGCGTGGAATTGGCTTCAAGCCAAGGGCCGACTAGGCCAGAGAGAGTATCCACATCTCGAAATAACTCATGCTTATACTCCGTAGAGACGCATCGCGAGAGGTCAGTGAGACCGTTATCTTCTGAAGCCGTCCACCTTACGAACCTCTTGGCTGTGGGGTTGACGTTTGACCCTCCTAATGAACTACGAATGTTGTCCCAATGGTACAGTAGATTCAGCTTCGTACCAGAGGAAGCGCAGATTCAGATAAACCCTACCTATATTTAGGAGAACTCGGTGACTTCATTCGGCAGCGAAATCCTTCTAATATCGTTTACTAGTCAGGAAATCTCTGGCCACCGTTTGAAGTATTGTGCTTAAGGATCCGATCCATTCCGATCCACTCCGATCTATGATTACAAGTACCGGTACATCTATGCCTATGCGTTCATCGTGTCGATGTACAGAGTGCAGTTCAGGAAGAAGATTGCAACAATATAAATAGTTAGCGAAGTGAGTACTCATTTTTATCCCGCAGAGGATTTTCGATATAACATCTAAAATGATTTTCATTTGTGGTTACTAATATTGGTAAAATGAATCTGGTCAGAGAGATATATATCTCTCTTTGCACCTACCTCAGGTTACATCCAATACCTTCTTTACCACCGCTCTCCTTACCATCACACTTCTTACTCTCACTTTCTTTATTCTTTTCTGTGTCGGTATATCAATATCGACCTACCTTGGTTGGGGCCAGCTCGGTTACGGATGGGCATGACTCGCTTACATGGGCATGCCTCGCTTAGCGTGGCATACCACTTAGGGCCAACTTCTTTGTACTACTAAATATTACTATATAGCTAGTCTCCGTGATTCTTTTTGATCGTATAAAACAGATCCACTCCTCCGAACCTTAAGGTTAAGGAGCAAACAGAAGTCAGATACTATTTTTATCGATAGTTTTGCAAGTGCGAGAAGCTGCGTGCGCTGCACGCTAGGAATGAACGTTCGCGACCGGCGATCCAACATTCGTGCTTTGCAAGCTTATGCTTTCCGTCAGCTCGCACAATCGAGAGACTTTTAAATCTTTCGGTACCTACTATACGGTACTTCCAAAGTGATGCTCTTCTCCATCTTGCTAGCCTGGAGCTTTCTCTGTAAAAGAGCTTATGGAAAGGTGTACTTATCGGCTATCGAGCGGTTCCCTCAGTAAGTTCCACTTGGTTCATATTTATATAATGTAAGCTTTTAGGCGAGTTATAGACGGAAGCCGACCAGATCAATGGACTCAAAAGGCCTTTTAGAGATACAGAATTCGATGCGAATCGCGAACGCTGGAATCTACTAGAACGTGGTTTGACGATGTGTAAGTAAATCCATATCTGAAAATCGTTACTTATTACGCGAAGTGAATAATTAAACGGTGAACAACCTTGCTGTCGTTATTGGTTTTGCAGAAACTCGTGGTATTGTGCTATCGAAACGGATAGTGACATGTTTGGAGATGTTAGCAAAGTATGGATACCAAGATCTTACTCGGAAATCAAGTAAGGTGAGATCAAGAAAACGCAATGATAGCAACGCCAAGCCGAAAACGAAGAAATCATGAAGGGAATATGTCAGGTCCACGGCCGTGCCACACCCAAAGAAAACTGTACGAAGTACTACTTGGTACACTCCGTGCATAACTTAGGGCCTATTTGTGTAGGAAGTTAGACCAAAAGTACACCAAAAAAATTATAAGCAGCGCATTGTCTTAAACTAGTCGCAGGCGTAAGTATTACCCCTCGAGGGTAGGGAAACCAGGGGGTTTAAAGTGGAAACTAAACTTTTGAAGCACCCTCGAGGGGTAATACTTAGGCCTGTACCGTGGTACTTCGTACCTTATACGGCGTAGAAGTTCGAGCTTTACCAAATGCTGAGATTTCCGTACGGAGTACAGCAAAAGTGATCATTTTCAATTTTTTGGCCCGTGCACCATGTACTTCCGAAGTTAGGTGTATCACTAACTTCCTACCTATCCAAACAAGGCTTAAGGCAAGGCAAACGTCGTGCGTCGTTGTAGTGCGCTCTGAGCCTCTGGAGGACTCGGTCCATGAAGTACGTAGAAGTACGGAGGGTGGATGAGTCTGAGAGAATACCAAACTGGTTGGTACTCACCGATGCGCTCAGGCCTCCGGGACCCGTAGCCCATGCTTTGGTATAAGGAGTAATGGCGTACTGCACGACACGAATCAGACGCTGAACGTCATTGCAATTCCACCTTTGCGCATACTTACAAGCTACTGTATGGAGTCTTTGGATACAATAATGGGAAGCTGGCCACAATTCCTGCAGAGTCAGAGCTGTACGAGGACCATCTATCCCACATCGCAAACGACAAACTCGAGTAATGGCAGTCTCCGTGGAGGTTTTCCGCTGTTGTACGCCGCAGCAGTGTCCCAAAGATCGGGAAATTTCCGAGAAATTGACGTTCAGAGAAGGAATTCCCATGCCAGACATGACTTCAGCATAAGAGTCCAAAAGATTCGACTCAATCCGGGTATTTGGGTTGTATGCTGCAATATTATTCATGCTCGACGTCGAATTCGAGAACGTCATGAGGTTGATAATTTTAGTTTCAGGATCGGCATTCCGTTCTGCTAAGGCAACGACCAACCATCTTTATTGGAACTTGGCCAAGTTGCTCGGTATAAGCCTCCTCATCACCTCGATTTGATTCGCAAGGTTCTTTATCTTCATGTCCTCGGCTCCACTGGCGTCTAACCTGCGCATCCCATCTCCGTACAGGACCGTATAATCCGGAAGAACCTCTCCGTCTGTCACTTCGCACAGAGGTCCAATCTTGCAATGCTGTGATCCATTAGCGCCACAGCCAAAGAAGCTCGTCAGCAGCCGCACCTTTCCCAGCATTGCACCCTTCCCAACTTTCGCATTGACTTCAATCACAGTGCCTTCTCCTATCCTTCTGGCTTCCACTACAGCCCCGAGCTCAACGACTACTCCGTCCTCAAGTACCACGCCATATTTTGCTTCATCAGGTGGATCGCTCTGCAAACCAATCTGGCTGCGCTCGCAGATGATACATTGCCTTCCCACTGTGATGGGCGCAAAGCTGGAATTCAGCTTTGCTCTCGGATGGATGATGGTATCTGAGCCCAGCGTTATGAGCTCGGTGCCGACTAACTGTGCTTGTTCCGCAATGACTAGGGACGAGGAGAGTTGCGTCGGAGGCTTCGGCGGAGGGACCATCGCGGACTGGCGTCTCGACATATTTGCTGTTTGGATGATGTTGTTGAATAGAGGTTCTAGATCTGACTGAGATCAATGGAGGGAGGAGATGAGAGGCAAGCGCAGGCCTGAGGGTGTAGCAGAAGCAGATATCAGAATGGACATTCTCATTACGTGAAGTTGACGCCGCTTACTTCTTTGATATCGGCGGTGAGGGTTTCGGATCCGAACTTCAATGTGAGATCTATCTTCGTAAGTTTCAGAAGATCCGGTCGACTTCACTTCTCTGCAATAGCTTCAGGTGCCTCATGGAAACACAGGTGACAATTATCGATCGATATCCATCTGCTTACTCATCAGCGCTAGTGGCGTCGGCCAATCACTCGCCCCAGATACATGATGATTCAATGACTAAATGCTAAATGGACCAAGGCCATCTCGGAGTTAGACCTCGAATTTCGACATCCACCTTTTTTATACGGCATCGCTTCACAACGCGAGCGCAATTAGTACAACCATATTTCACAATGCTTTCGCGACATGCACCTACGCCAAAGGCTGTTTCTTCTCTCTCCACCCGCATTCTTCCATCCGCAGCGTGCGCCGCTCCCCGACTCCCTTCCTCCGCCTCTCCTACACAATCCCGCCGTGGCCTTGCCACAGTTGCAGATGCCCCCCCTCCACCGAAGCGGACTTACGGTGGATTGAGGGATCAGGATCGCATTTTCCAGAACCTTTACGGACATCATGGGGCAGATCTAGCAAGTGCGAAGAAGTATGGAGATTGGTACAAAACGAAGGAAATATTGCTCAAGGGCCACGAATGGGTATGTTGGACAAAAAGGGCAGGGAGTTGGAGGGCATGCCGTTGACATATTGGACAGATTATTTCCGAAATCAAGGCTTCGGGTCTTCGAGGACGTGGTGGCGCTGGATTCCCTTCCGGGATGAAATGGGTATGTTTGGATACATGACGAGGTGGCACATGAGACTGATTGTCTATAGTCATTCATGAATTTCAAGGATTGGGACAAAGAAAACAAGCCGAGATACTTGGTCATCAATGCTGATGAAGGGGAGCCTGGAACCTGCAAGGACCGAGAGATCATGCGAAAGGATCCTCACAAGCTTCTTGAAGGATGTTTGGTCGCAGGACGAGCAATGAACTGCACCGCTGCCTACATCTATATCCGCGGCGAATTCTACCATGAGGCGACTGTTCTTCAAAGAGCCATTCAAGAAGCTTACAAAGATGGACTCATCGGAAAGAACGCTTGTGGCAGTGGCTACGATTTCGACATCTACCTCCACCGGGGAATGGGAGCCTACGTTTGTGGTGAGGAGACATCATTAATTGAGTCTCTCGAAGGAAAGCCCGGGAAGCCTCGTTTAAAGCCCCCGTTCCCCGCTGCCGTTGGTCTTTTCGGATGCCCTTCGACTGTGGCAAACGTCGAGACAGTCGCAGTAGCGCCCACGATTTGCCGCAGAGGAGGCTCATGGTTTGCTGGATTTGGACGTGAGAGGAATGCCGGAACAAAGCTTTTCTGTATCTCTGGTCATGTCAACAACCCATGCACAGTAGAGGAGGAGATGAGTGTTCCCTTGAGAGAGATCATCGACAAACATTGTGGCGGTGTCCGTGGTGGATGGGACAACCTCTTGGCTGTTATTCCCGGTGGATCATCCACCCCTGTCCTGCCAAAGAGCATTTGCGATGACCAACTTATGGACTTCGATGCCTTAAAGGACTCCCAATCTGGTCTTGGAACGGCAGCCGTCATTGTGATGGACAAGAGCACTGATATTGTCCGTGCCATCTCAAGACTGAGTCACTTCTATAGACATGAATCTTGTGGTCAATGTACCCCTTGCAGAGAAGGTAGCAAGTGGACTGAGCAGATCATGAAGAGATTCGAGAAGGGACAAGGTCGCTCGCGCGAGATTGATATGTTGCAAGAGTTGACTAAGCAAGTTGAGGGCCACACCATCTGTGGTAAGCTTCAAAAACCTTGACAGAGAGATAAACGCAGCTAACGTGATCTAGCTCTCGGCGAGGCTTTCGCATGGCCCATCCAGGGTCTTATCAGACATTTTAGACCAGAGCTTGAGGCCCGGATGAAGGACTACGCCGCGAAGAACGGAGGGGATCCGCTGGCGGGCGGTTGGTCACATGATGCGAGACAGCAGGGTCAGCTGGTGGCACCTGGGCAGTAAATAACATCAGATGGGGGATGGGGGTTTAAATTGTTCATCGGGGTTTGCCTCTATTGTATTTATTGAAATTCGGCATGGGTGCTTCCTGACAGGCGCAATGTATTAGCAAGACGCTTGCACTTCCTTTTATACTATCACCGGACTTACTCGATCTTATGGCGACGCAGAATGTTTATGAGGGCAATGCTACCTGTAATGTCAAATTCCTTTGTTGTGTGTTAAGCAATTTCTATTGTCCCTCTGTCCCTCTGCCCAATCCTCGGCGCCTTGCAATGGCAGTGGCAGTGGGATGTGTCACGTGGGACTTGGTTGACTTCAGTGGTGGAGGCTTGGCATTGTCTGTACGGAACAGTACTAGCGCGGCTTCGGCTTCTCCACCAAAAAAGATTCGTTCGGGACTCTAGACTAGACTTGCACCCTTGGACTCTTGAACTCTTGAACTGTTGACCGTTGAGCCTCTGTGGAAACTTTCATTTTGAAAACAACAACAACGACATTTCATATCTGCTCTGTCCAACCTCTCAGTCGAAATCTGCAGCTCCCCTAGTAGCTCTGGGCGACAACATAAACATCACATCCAGTCTCTGAAAAACCTCGTCCCTCCTCCACTTTACTCGGCTGTTCCAGCTCTCGACAGACCCAAACATGACATACATGCCATACAGAAAAGCCGCGATCTTTCTGAAGTGCAGCCCAGAGCCCTTCAAGATCGTGAATGCCCTACGAGCAACATTACCTGCAAACGTTCCGGATGCCAGAAAAATCGATCCTGTAGCACCTATCCCGCCCTACGTTGCACTCTTCCGGAGGTAGGTCGATTGGGCAGCAGCCATTTATCTTATAGTATATCTGAAGCTCTTTCATGGGTTCAAGTGAGCGTATGCTAATTACCTTATCTCTCAGGTTGCCAACCAGCCTCCTAAGCACATATCAGGAAGCGCTGACGGACCTCGCCTCTCAGCGCAAACCATTCGAAATTGAGGTCGGAGCACCCTACATTTACATTCAAAACCTAATGGGCAATGTGCCCAAGTCTAATCTGTACTCTATCGGTTTTCAACTCCCCATGGATGCGATCGAATCTCTTCGAAAAGAATTGTACAAGGGATTTGAAAAAGAGCTCACGGAAAGTCGTGCCAAATCGGGAGCACCTGTGCCTCGGTACACGCCAATGAACAAAGCGAGCCTACTGATCCGTAATTCAGCATACGGGCTCACTCGCTCGCAGGCTGAGGAGGCCCTCGGTCAGCTGCAGCGGGATTACAAGAATGGCCTCGGGAAGATGCAAGCAGAGGGCTTTGCATTTCAGGAACGCGCCGAAATCCAGCCTCCATCGAAACGTCCAGCCGCGCAAGAATATATGTTCACAGGGGCATGAAAATCGACTAAAATCCATGCGGGTTCCATATCTCGATGCAGATAGTGTCGAATTGGGTTCCCAGTATCCAGTATTGCTCCCAATGTGGATATCAGGACTCGAGATGTAGATTTGCGACGGAGGTGGCTGACGAGCTGCTTGGCAAAATATGTACAATACCCTACCAGAAGCGATGTAACAATAGAAACATGTATATGTACTATCAGCTGTCGCTTATGGTATCGATACCCTTTCGCCCATATAGCACGCTGAGTCCCAGAGTGCAATATGGCCGGACATTTTGGGGGGATCAGCGGGTCTCTCGGGTCCCTATCGAACATTCTTCGCTATCCTCCTGGAGATGCAGCGACCGCTGCCACGGAGACACCAAAAACAAAATCCTAAAACTATTTCGACTTTTCATTCGCTGGATTTGACCTAGACCAGCTTAGACTGAGATGCACCTTACTTCCTCGCCATTGCCTTTCGAAGTCGGTATGAGTCACGTATGCTCAACTGGGCATTTGGCTTGGGTGCTTCATGGCTGCAAACTTGTGAACTAGTGGTTCTAGGATCCATCGCTCTTGATCCGCATTCGAGGTGGTCGTTGGTTCGAAAGTCAAGTCAAGTCAAGCGTTGCTTGATGTGTTGGTGACTGGAATCAACTCGGCGGAAACATTTGTTCTTTTTTCCTCTTCTTCTTCTTCTTCTTCTTCTTCTTCTTCTTCCTCTTCCTCTTCTACTTTTTCTCCTCCTCCGCCTCCTCCTCATCCTCCTCATCTCGTCTCATTTCCAGATATCATTCCACTTCCGTCATTCTACATCCGACACATCAACAATGGACTCTGACTTGCCAAAACCAACAGCGACCAGACTCTCCACAGAGGAGGAGGTTGAGCTCGAAGTGAAGCGCAGCCTTCAGGGTGGAACATGCGCCTGCTCCTCTCTTACCAGACTCTCTGGAGGCCCCGCCAACTTGGTCTACCGAGGCGAATTCGTGGACCCCCTTCCCGATGGCCCAAGACTGTAGTCATCAAGCACGCCAAAGGCTACGTAACTCAGAACCCACGTGTCCCAACAACGACTACGCGTTGTATAAGCCATCTCTTTGCATTCTCCGGAATCATCATATGCGGGAATCATTCTAATATGTGTGGATATGCGTGTGTGTGTGTGTGTGTGTTTGTGTGTGTGTGATCAGGACTACGAAAACATAATCCTAACAACGCTCCAAACCTTCACAGGCATCACCACCACCGCCCACATCGCCTTCCAGACCCCAATCGCGCGCTGCTTCTACCCCTCCGTCAACACTCAAGTCCACTCCTATTTCCCCTCCTCCATCGACCTCAAGACCTGGCTCCTCAGATCCCCCGCGCTCCTCACGCCCGACCACTGTTGCCGCCTGGGCTCTAGCCTTGGTCGCTGGACGAGGGCGTTCCACGATTGGGGGAGGCTGCCGGCTCAGATGGCCTTGGTGGAAAATATGAGGGGTAATGTTGCGATGCTCGATCTGAAGCTCGCGATCAATTACGACAGCGCCGTATGCCTCGTCACGCCTAGCAGGCCATGCTGGCTCGTCGTGTAGGCCAGGCCGGTAGCGGCAGCGGCAGTTCTGGGGGCCACGTTGATGATGGAGCCGCGCTGCTTGCTTCTCATGAAGGGGAGGACGGCGTGGATCATGCGCGTGGGCACTGTGAGATTCATGCCTACTCTTGGAGCGAAAAGTTTTTCTCCGTGTATGTTTATTTCCGCCGGGTGAAAAGGGCAGGGGGGAAAGGAAGGGAGGGAGGGGCTGGGAAGAGATTTTTTTTTTTTTTGATGAATGGGTCTGTCTGTATGTCTGTACGTACTGATGCAGTCCTATTCGCGATCGGTGAAGATGTCGATGGCTTCATAGGTGTCTGTTATGCCTGCGACTTTGGCGAGCACGTCGATCTGATTGCTGTTTTTTTCCTGTCAGTATGCAGGTTTTTGTAAGCTTCAGAAAGACAAAGACAAGAACTTTGGCTTGGACTCGGCTAATAGTTAAGCGAGGGGGGAAAGGAGGGGGGTGGTTTCCGCAGATAGCCTGGTCGTGGCACGTGCACGCCTAAAAGAACAACATAGGTTGTAACGTACCCGAGTTTCGAGACGCAGATCCTGATTGCCTGGTCGCATTCGCCGCCGGGTAGTAGGTCACCTCTACGAAAGTGGCAGCGCTCGTGGTCGCGCTGGTCGTCGATTTTCGCGTACTGAATGACCGGGAGGATAGCAGACACGCCGTCTTCGTAGTATCTCGGGAGTAGTAGTATTTTCGGGAGTAAATTGCTACTATCGAGATACTAGAAGGGGGAGAGTAACGGTTCAACGGTGTCTCTACGTTCATGTCTTTGATGTCGATGCCGAGGACTTCGTATCTGGGAGCCAGATCTCGGGGTTAGCTAGCTTGTCCTCTACATATGAGATGAGAACAGACTGGTCTGTCTTTCTAGTCGAGTGGAAAATCTCGGTGTGGGAGAGAATAGAGTGCGCGCCGTGATGAGGTCGACTTACTGATGGCCGAGGAAGACTTGAGCGGTTGCGAGCCCGATGCCAGAGGCACACCCGGTGACGATAGCTACCTTCCCGAAGCCGGCGACGTCGCTTTCGCGCCGTGGCAGAATCGTTGTTTTCGGAGTGGTAGTTGAGCGGCATTTCTGTTCTTCCTCTCTCTTCCAATTTTAGGCACGGAGGCAAGTGAAGAAACGTCCCCTTTGCTTTCGTTATACTGGTCAGCCGGGTATGATTATGAGGAGATGGGGAGATACGGAGAAGGTTATACGGAGTACGGGCAGAACACACGGGGAGATGGCCGAGAGGGAAACTAGAAATAGATGAACGAGGGAGATATACATGTGATATATATATGCATACATCAAGCCTGATTTGCAGCCGCTGCTCGCGTGCCATTCACATTCACATTCACATTCACGCTGTAGGCAAGCGAGGGCTCGGCAGTTGCCGGGCCATCTGGAGATAGTGTATCTATCACCCTCCTACTGGGCCTCTTCAGTTGAGGTGCGAAGTTCTGGCCGGGCGGTACTGTATCATGGCGCCGCTGGACTTGACACAGCTGGATGAGTGGGCCTGCTGCTTATAGTCTCGGTCTCGAGGAGGAAGAGCGACAGATATACCCATCCAGAAGAGCAATCAAAGCAAAGCAAAGCCTGTATTTTCCAAAGTAAGCCACCAAGTGTACAGGAGAAACGGAGCCTATGACTTCCTCAAATGATTAAGTCAGTGACGATGGAATATGAATTAATCGCATGGAAAGCTAGCTACGAACTACCCATCATTTTTGGATCCCCTACGGAGTGAAGCTACTCGTGCAGCCGAATGAATATCAAAATACTTTTTTTTTGTGAACCCCAGCGCCATTCCACCTCCCACTCCCACTCCCACTCCCACTCCCTGCAGTTAATGCATACGTGCACCAGTAAATAAGCAGCCCAGCCCACCTGCTCCGCGTAAAACGCCATGCTAATAATACCCAGCAAAAGTATACAACCAGCCCCCCCGTCCCCCCCACCCCAATGATCCTTAGGTCGTGGACAGCAACTTCGCTGCATCTGGCTCATAGATCTCAGCTACTCCCCACCACCCTGGAACCGCATCTGCAGAACCCAGCTACCTTCAAACTCCACTCCCTTCCTCACCCTCGTACCGCCTTTCTTCCATGCCGCAGGTCCAAGACCAATGTCAGCAACGAAGAGCTGCCAGCCTGTGCTATCTTCATCAGCGATGCCTTCGCCCAGCGACATTGCCTCTAGAAGTCCCTTCTTAGGAGCGCCCATCGAGACGACGAAATCGGCATGGATGTATAGTTGGCGGCCGTCGACGATGCTGACCTTGCCAGATGTAGGGTCAACACCTGTAGGGACATCGATTGCCAAAACACGAGCTGTGCTGCGATTTGCCCAGGCAATGAGTTCATATGCTGAAGCTTGATCGCCTGTTCTTAATTCCTCGAATGAGATAGTTAGACCAAGCAGACCATCGATGATGAGTTCAAGAGGCGATTCGAGAGTCTTGACGTACTCCAGAAGCTCGATCTTGGTGAGGATCTTGCCTCCAAAGCCCCGGAAAACCTTGATTTGACGTCTCAAGCCGACAAGAAGCTCAGTTTCCCGCTCTAGTCCGAGGACGCAGACGATAACATTGAAACCGTGGTTTCGAATTTGTCGACCCGCCGCGACTGCCCGGAGTCCGCTTTTGCTGTTTCCGGCAAATACTACGATCGTCGGTACAATACTAGTCTTGCCTTGGGTTAGACCTCGACCACCGATGTTCAGTGCAGACAGAGCAACTTCGGCGATTCCTCGACCAGCGTTCTCTGTCATCATCTCTTCTGAGAGGCCAAGTTCGTGGTCCGCGATGTTCTCAAGGTTGAGCATCTGCAGAGCTGATATGGTCTCGCATCGACCATTGGACGGAACAAGGAAGAAAGAAGGCTTTGCAGCAGCTATCGGAATCTGTGAAAAGTTAGCAGAGAAAACATTGATCCGTCTCAAGAAATCCTACCGACACAGAGCGAGCAGGATGGTTAACAACACTACCCTTACGAGAGACTGGTCGCCGACTCAACGAAAACTTGCTCTCAGCCCTCTCCACCCGCTCGGTTCTACGAGAGCGTCTCCCACTTCCAGATCCCAATTGGCTTGCCCTCTCCTCCCCACTCTCCCCAGCTTCACTCTTCCACGCCGTAGATTTGACCCCTCCAATAGGAGCCTCTAGAACGTTCTCCGTATAATGAAGATTCTTCCCACCAGCCGTCCCCGGTTTCGCTTTCGGCAGCCTGTTGTGCGATACCAGCCGATCCTCTTCGGCGATACTGTCTTCCGCCTGGATCTGGTTAAAAACAGTATGTTTATCAAATTTCGCCAGGCTGCCCACGAAGTCGAAATCGCCCATCTCTTGTACATCAGTAGCGTCCTCCGTCGCCCAACCACTCTCCTCCACCTTGCCGCCCTTCAGCCGATTCTTCCGTTTTAGCGTAGCAAACGGCTGAAAACTGGTCGTTGGCTCCAACAGCGGCGTCTGTCTCCAGCCCTTGGAATTAGTATTCTCATCCACCACCTCCTCACGCGGCTTGCGGTTCTTCCTACCCCTACGCGTCCTCGCCTTCGCGACCGGCTGCTCAGGAACAATCTCCGCCTCGCCGTCCAGCTCCTCAATCACCGGTATGGCAACAACGTCGTCATCGTGCGGCTTAACCTTCACACGCATCTTCTGCATCGGTTCCACCAACGTCGCAGCAGGCGTAAGTTCCCGCAACGCCTTCGGCCTGCTCTCCCTACCCGTCGCCGTCCGCGCCGAGTCATCCGGCTCCGTAGACTTAGCGCTCCATTGCGCAGGTATACTCGGCCTCTGGCTATTCGCAGGCGTAGTTCCAGCCGGTATCTTGCTCATGCTCAAAATAGCAGGATCCTCGAATGTCTTGAGCTCGGGGGCAGCTGCGGGAGTGGGGCGAGGAGGTGGTTGGCGGGGGAGCTGCGCGTTCTCGTTCGTGGCCTCGACGAGCTCGACGATCTCCGAAGCGTTGATGGTAAACTCGGGAACGAACTTGCCGTTTGCTGGACATGTTACTGAAGAATGGTGTTAGCAAGTGCGGTAAACAGTGTAGCTGGACTGGACTATGGGAAGGTGCTTGCCATTGCGCAGAGTCAAGGACCTCCCGGGCTCAATGCCACTGACCACTCCTCGCAGCTGGGCACCGGGTGGCGCACTGAGCGTTACCAGCATGGTGAGTCCAATGAAGGTATTCGACATGATGTCGCTGTGTGCTGTATGCCAGCCAGCGTCTCTGCCGTGCAGGTGAGGAAGTGTTGGCGGCCAGTTGTGAAGACGTTGATTGTTTGATTGTTTATGGTTTATGGGATAAGATCTGCCAGTCCGGGAGAAGTGAGAGCTTGCCTGGTAGCTCCGGGTTTGAGGGAGGAAAGGGGCGGGGGGCGGTTGTTGGGATGGAAGAAAACGCGTGTGCTACGTTATGCTTCCTCAGATGTTCGTTCCCCTGAGTCGTTATCGATAAGCTTGCCAAGACTATATTTTTTGCTTTCCTTCCCTTCACAATTTCACTTCCAGGAAACGGGTCAACGAAGACGGGTTTCTGAGCCTGTATGCGGCGCTAGCTACGAACTTACGATATTTCTATTAATATTCGTAAAGCCGATTAGAAAACACATCTTCCGAAGTAATCGAAGCGATGCACTTTAATGCTAGCCGGTTCTTTCGTATCTACCGACGGAACAGAAGACGATTAAAGATACGAAATAGGTATTACAATATACTTTTTTAAATAGAATTCGAATTCAATATTATCGATCAGCTCGATGATTCTATTCGACGATTGAATTCGACTTTTTCTGGACACTGGGAGAGCGGTATTTACGATCGATTATATAAAAACGCTGAAGGAATAAAGTGGACACGGTGGCGGCCTGGCTCTTCGGAACTCTCGGGATTGCTATACGGTAGAGGAACCTCTAATAGATGCTAGCTCGAAAGAGCTTACAATTATAATCGATTACGAATAGAAGAGGCACGGAAGAGAGAAAGAGAAAGAGATAGAGAATCTCGATCAAATACTCGATTAAATGATCGGAAAGACGATGTGTCGAGTCGCTAATAACTAGTCGCAATAAAAAAGCGACCGTAGCGATTAAAACATTGATAACTAACGCTTGCCGTTAATAAGAAGCATTAGAATAAATTAAAGCTGCGATACCGCGGGATTAAAGACCCGGGATTCTATATCGATCTATATCTTTTTCCTTTCGTGATTTTAATCTTGTCGATATGGATGGACTTTTTATTTAAAGAACTGTTAAATGAGCTGAAACCGCCTTCCTTTACGAAGTCGGGATCTAGTGCCGGCACGTCGGAATCCCTTTCGGGAGGTGATAAGTCGGACTCTTAGGACCCGCAATAGACGTCAAAACAATACTACCACTACTATTACCTCTAGGAAACGTACTTTACAAAGATAAATAAAGTTTCTGATATCATGAGAAAGGAGAGAAAACATAACAAAAGAAAGGGGAGGAGAAGAGAGGAGACCCTCATGATCACTAGACCAAAGAACAACAAACAGACTAGACTGTATAGTAGAGCCGAAGATGCCAAAGGCAGCATCAACAGGTGAGACTGTTCATAAAGCAACAGTTAAAAGGGGACGATCACAGTCCGAGAATTATGGCTGGTAGTAATACCGACAGGAGCAAATAGCAACAGCTATTTTGGCTATTTGCGACACCCAATGCTGTGTCATAACAGTAGCTCCAATACGCAGCCCATGAGAGCCATGAGCAGCTAGGCATATGTTGACTTTGGGTTCCAGACACTTCCACTTTCCCTTCCCACAAGATACCAAATCTCCCATCGGCAGAGGGAAAGGGGCCCTGGCATACATACGCTTCCGAAGAATCAATGCTCCCCTCGATAGCAAAAACTCATGCTATCTCCTCCCAAATTCCCAACTTCACTTTCACCGGAAGTATCGAGTCTTCATCCGTAGGCAGCAGCAGCCATGGCTTCCTCTTCATCGAAGCCGTATGCGTCAGCCGATTCCATCTCGGCAATCATAAACTCTTCTTCGTATGACATGGCCTTCTTGGCTGGAGGAGGCTTCGCTACAGTTGGATGCTTGAGAGCTTTATTTACGCTGTACAGGCTGTCGTAGAATTGTGCAACTCGCGGGTGAGCCATGACCTTAGTCTTGTCGAAATTCTGTACCTCGAGTCCGGCTTGACTGGTAGCTCGACTGAGGGCAACGTATGCTTGGCCCTTCTCGAAGATCTTCTTGAGATCAATCTTGACACGTTCCAGGGTCTGGCCTTGGGCTTTGTGAATCGAGAGCGCCCAGGCAAGAATGAGAGGTATTTGCGCTCGCTGAGCTTGCACCTCACCGCTAGGTAACTCAACTTTCCATTCTTCGGGTTGAACAAGAATCTCCCTATAGGAGCCATCGGCGACCGCAAATTTGACAAGAGGGTAGGCCATTCCCGTCCCCTGTGGTCTTATCGATTTCAATTCTGGATCATCTTCCTTTTGAAATAGCTCCGGTCGTTTGTCATACATTTCGAAGGTCTTCTCGTCCATGAAAGCCATGACGGTTCCTAATGATCCGTTGACAAGTCCATCATCCATATTCTTGATCAGCATGACTTGTGCGCCTTTTTTCAGCTCGAGCACTTTCGGCGCCATCATGTTCGACAGCAGCTTATCTCGCATAGCGATATCCATGATAGTTCCTGTGTCCCGAGCCTCGAACTTCATAGACTGGCCTTGCAAGTTACGCATTCTGAATGCGTTGGAATTCTCGACCTCGTTTCTGGTCGGGAAGCTAAACAGTTAGCATGATACCATGAGGAGTACCAGCAGTGACGTACAGCTCAGTAGCGGCTAGTCCGTCCTCATAAGGTATAGGACGACTCAGTTTCTTGAACGCGGCAATAGTCTCGTCCGTTATTTTGCCCAACCGCATCTCGTTAAGCATGTTGGCGAAGACTAATCTGTTAGCACAGCCTCCGCGCTTCATAGGAGGTTGGGAGGTCTTCACCTGGATCCTTTTGACGGAAGACTTCTGTAAGGCCGATGGTGTGGTGTATAGCTGTAGGCCATGTGCCAGCATCGAATGCAAACTTGGCTCCTCTAGTCTTGTTCTCAAAATCCGGAACGGGAGGCAACTGGAAGAAATCACCTGTGATGACAAGTTGAATCCCCCCAAATGGTCGTCCATTATTCCTCATTGCTCTTGCAATACCCTCCAACTTGTCGAAGAGGTCGCCATCAACCATGGAAATTTCATCAACGATGAGAATTTTCGTTCGGATCCAGCGGTTCTTGGCCTTCGCATTCCTCCTAATCTTCTTCACGAGAACAGGCACTTCTTCTTTGCCCAACCCGATACCACCAAAGCTGTGCAGCGTGACTCCGCCGATATTACACGCAGCCAAGCCAGTCGAAGCCGTAACTGCGATGCGATCGGGCTCTCGCATATACTTTCTCCGTAGCTCGGCAATGATAGCTCTCATCAGAACCGATTTTCCAGTTCCTGCAGATCCAGTAAAGAAGACACTCTTGCTCTGATTCACCACCAAGTCAAGAACCTTTTGTTGTTCGCTACTGAGAGTAATAGGGGCCATGGCAATTGGCTTCACACGACCTCCTCCAGCTGAAAGATCAGCTACTTTCTTCTTCTGCATCTCCTTAAACCTCTTTTTGTCTTGCGCTATGGCACTTCCAGTACTATTCCACGGCATCTGTTTATGCCGGGGAGTATAATCATACTTGGACCCCCTCCTCGTACAGTCCTTAGCATAGTGACCGCTCTCACGGCACTTGAAGCATAACTTGCTTGGTGTGGATGAAGAATCAGCCAAAGCCTCTTCGTCCTCGTCCTGCAAATCCAGAATCTCGTTATGTTCGGCCTTTTTTTGCATCCAAGGAAGCGTTCTTCGCTTGGGCGCTCGAGGGTTAGGGTCAGGGCCAGGAATCTCTCCTTCGGTCGCCTTGAATTCCTGACTTGGCAATTCATCCCCTGACTTTCTCTTGAGTACGCCAGGAGGTGTGCGCTTGTGCGAGGGGGGAGATGAAGACCATGTCTGAGCACTGCTTGTGGGATGTTGTGGGGTGATTTGGCGCGGCAGCTGTGGCAATTTGTACGGAGACGGTTCTGGTAAATATTGCTTTTGCGTAATGGGCTTGGGCGGTGCTGCCATAGACATCGGTACACTGTAATCAAAGTCTATATCTATATCGTCGTCGTCATCAAAGTCGTTCTCGTCGAATTCGACAGCCGGAGTGGGAGTTGATTGTTGCTTCATCAATATGGCGGGCTTCGATTCTCGCGGTAAATCCTCGGTGAGGTCTATCATGTCGGGACTATCTCGAAAAGAGTCTCTACTACCGAAGATAGATGATAAAGAGGAAGATGCGGTCGAGGAGGAACTGGCGACTCGCGGATAGGACTGTTTGATGTTGGTTGATCTAGACACGAGCGGGGCAGGATGCGAGGGTTTTGATGACTTCGAGGGTATAGGCGGCTTCGCGAATGTATTTGTTACGCCGCTGGTAAATCCACCGATAGACTGTGTCGACCGGGCCTTCTTGAACTGCTCTTCGATGTTGCCGTTCTGCGCGGGGCTACTGGATGGGAAGAGTTGTTTCTCGAGGGGCGTCCTGGGCTTCGAGGCCGCATGGGCGCTGGCTGCGCGTCCTAGCATTGCGTCTGCGATCGAGGAATACGCGGATGTGAAATTCGTAGTCGTGGTCGTGGACGAATTGAGGGTTGTTGAAATATAAGGAAGGATCCGAGCCTTCCAGCAACTCGCAAGCAGTCCCCGAGAGGCAAGTGAGAAAGCTGGAAGGCGGATCGGGCCAGCCGGCATACAATTGATCGGAGAGGTCACTTGTGGAAGAATTGAATGAGTTCAAGAAGTCTGGAATTTTCGCGATATTGCTGTCGTCGTCGTAGGCCCCAAGCGCGCAACAGGGCGTGAACCGCGTTCGCCTCGTGTGTCACACGTGATGATACCAATTTTCTGGATGCTCCCGAGGCTGCTCGAGTGTCTGACGTCTCTACCGCCTTGCTGACAAAGCAGCTCTCGCGAGATGGAGGTGGCAGGTAATTATAGTTGTCACGTGAGCTAGCCACCTCCATTTACGGGTGTCTGATGTTATTGATCTTATTATCAGTACTTCGTACAAAGTTTGATTTTTCCTTACTGTTAATGTATTTACATGTTACCAAGAACGGAAATTCACTATCAAATGCATGTGTTTAAGAATCTGATGCAACCCAACAACCACCCCCCAAACCTGCTCGGCTCTTCGCTCGGTTTACCAACAATATCCCAACTCATCCAATGAACGGTTTCCCCCGAATATAGGTTTAGCTCTTCTATTGATTCCCAGCATTGAGCATAAAAATCCAACTCATCGTTGTGTATCATTCTAGTTGGAATAACCATTTGCACCTTCCCAGGCTCATTTTGTATGTGTGAAAACAGTAATGCATTCTCCGGGTCCCGCACGCCCTGCAACCTGATATACTTGTGGATTTCCTTTTCGTTGTCGGAGTTCCAGGTCCATAATTTTTTCGTCTTCATCTCACCATCCTCATCAATGTTCAAGTAAGATTTTGGGATCCATACTTTGCTAAGGTCTTCGACCTTTTTGATATCCGCTTCGATAGCACAATACCATGGCGCCCCACCACCGAACCAGGAAGCAGACTGTCTCTCCCAGCCACCAGGTTTGTTGCCTATTTGAATTATTAACTCCGCGTAATGAGTAAGTAACGACTTATAAATATATGAATTAACTTACTCGTATAGTAGCCAGGCCCTAGTGAATTTAAGCGTCTGCGTTTCTGATCGACCACTTTACCTCTGTAAGGCACTCCATACTTGTTGGTCTTCCTAGCTTCCCGCTATAATTCCCGTAATTAATATAAGCTTATATTATATGAATCAAGTGAAACCTACTTGAGAAACAGTTCGATAAGCGATAACGCCTCTCTTCCCATAAGCCCCATCAAAGAGAAAGCTCAAGGCTAGCAAGATCGAGCAGATAGATTGTGATAATAGCATCATCTTGGAGATTCGAGTTTTAAAGATTGATAAGAGCTGACGAAAAGGAATAGGCTTGCAAAAGCAGAAGATGATGGTAAGGAAGATGATCGGTTTACCCTGGACTAGGTGCAAACAGAGATTTATATCTCTTTGACCATATTCTTCTCAGTAACCGTAGATGAAAATATTTTTATATTTATATCGAAATTTCACCCTAAATAAAAACCCGGATTTACGTGTGGCAAACTATCTATAGTATTGCAATGTCCTTTTTAAATTGTCGCGTATTGAAAGGATCGATATATAAGCACAGATGTACTGGTAATAATAGGTCCGAGAGGATCGGACTTTTATACAAAACATTTTGAATAGGTACCGTAGTGGCCAAAGATTTGCTGACTACGGAGTACCTAATCGAATCGATATTAGTCTCAGGCGATTCCCTCTTATTTAAACTCAATGCCAATATCTAACCACCGTAACTACCACTTTGATTGGAGAGAACAACTAGGATCAAGTAAATTGAGTACTCCGTACATCTTCTTCATAGGCTAAATGCGCCATAGCGCACTTGCACACCGAAGAGGTGGGGCTACGGTTTTTTACCTGTACGAAATGCCCCTTACAAACCTTTAGCTCTTTTTCTTTCTTTCTCTTGCGGTAGAAAGAAAGATAAAGAGTCTAGAGAGCCGAAATTGAATCGTCGATATGCGACGTCTTTTCGAAAAGATTTTCCTTTACCGGCGATTCCGAACCTCTCTCTTTCTTCTTTTCGAATACTACGCCGATTACGATTTATACTTAACGGGCATACCGATTGAAAAGACCAAGAGGATTTGCGATAAAAGAGGAACGTGTATAAGAGATAAGACAAGAAGGGCTTAGTTCGATTGATCGAAAACACGGTATTGCGCTATCGAAAGAGCGTTTTGCAAACACACCGGCTTTATCTAAAGGCTACGAACGTAAGCTTTTTTAGCTCTACGACGAAAGAGAACGATGTTTGTATTATACGGATCGAGGCCGCTCGTAAAGCTACACGTATTCGATAGTTATCGAAAGAAAACTCGACGCACATCATTATGAATTGCTTTTAAAGGGTTTACAAGTGTTGAGCTATTTGACGAAAGGTTTTCCTTAACGTGGTTTTTACTTTCGATTAGATAATACTTTGTATATAATTCCTTTACTTAGCACGTCGCCGTACCTTATAAGAGGTCTTCAGGGTCTAAGCATTGCGTTTTGGATACCCGCCCGACGTTAATAAATACAACAACAATAACAACAACAACACACCGAAGAGGTCAAAATTTTGGGACAATCGGAAATTCCCTAAAATTCTATTGCCACGGAACATGGAGTTTGATCATCCTCGCAGTCCCATTCGACATTCAAGTTTTTCTGTCACAGCTACTGCAAACCACAACTATCGCTGCAGGGCTATGATCGTGTGGACCCTAAACAGGCTAGCCAGTTACAAAGGCATCATTGTATCAAATCGTGAGAATCATCTAACGTACTTCGGGAGGCAGGGTCGAGATTTGCGGGGAGCAGCACATCAAAGGTCTTTGTCATTATACAGAATCCTATGTAGCCAACAACTTCAAACCTCTCCAACCCACTCAGCAACGGCTAAAACACACGGAAAGTGGAGACGTAGGAACTGGGTAGTCGCTATAGTAGATTCGTTGGACTCATGAGGACGAGAGGCGAAGGAGCAGGCCAATATCAAGAAAGCCGAAAATACAGGTACCCAATCAAGTCGACCAGGATAACCTAAGAAAGAACAACTTTTTTTAGTGGACGACGCTTAACAATATCACCTCCCCAACATTAATAAACACAGACATCTTGTATTAAAAAGAGAGCAGTCCAATGAAAAAGTCCTATGCAAGTTTCAAGTTGGAGAGCCTAGAAGGCAACACGCAGCGAGAGAAGGAGGGCGGGGGGGGGAATCAGATGCAAAGACGAAACGAATCCCGAGTCCGTGAATCCCACCACGCGAATTCGCAAAAGACAAGCTAGATATGGTTACTTTTTAGATGAATTATCCTTGGTAACCATTGAAGCCATTGTTGAAGTTCTGTGTGGCGGGAGCACTCCACTGGGCATTGGGTGCTGGCTGGCCACGACCGTAACCGCCAGCGCTCTGCGAGGCTGGGTTGTACATCTGAGGGTTATTGTACTGGGCTGGTGATTGAGCTGGGGCACCGTACCCGCCTTGAGCTGGGAATTGAGATTGCTGAGAAGGCATCGGGCCAGCTGATTGGGGTCCCTGAGGTTGTTGAGGCAGTCCACCATATTGAGGGAAGAAGCTGGTAGGAGTTTGGAAACCACCGGGGGTCTGGACCGCTGGGCTCCAGGGTGCTTGAGAGCCATCTGCACCAGGTTGACCGGGAGCCTTGTCCTTACCCCACTAAAGACATGTCAGTCTTGAAATGAAAATTGCACGGATTCACTCACACTACACTTCAAAGGTCGGCCGTTAACGTTGTAGCCACTCAACTGGCAGATAGCCATTGCAGCATTCTCATGGGTATCCATCTTGACGAAAGCGAAGCCGCGGTCAGCTTGGAATCGGGTCTCAACAACATATCCAAAGTTCTGGAAGAGAGGGATGAGGTCGTTCTGGGTAGTGTATGGTGTCAGGTTGCCAACGTAGACGGTGGTTTGCCAAGCAGGGGTCTGCTGAACAATCATATCATAGCTTTGGACACCATGGGTAGGGAAGTGGTGGTGGCCGAAGGGGGTTGTTGAAGTCATGCCCATAGCAGACATGGCCTGTTGTTGAGAGATTGATGGTTGTCCCTTCTGGTTGGCCCAGTTGCAACGGATGGCACGAGATCCCAGCCACTCTCCATCCATGGAACTCAAGGCTTTCTCGGCATCCTGGCGCTCGCGGAAAGCAACGAATCCGTATCCTCTGGATCGGCCCGTCTTCATGTCCCACATGACACGCGCCTCGGACACAGATCCAAAGGCAGAGAAGGCTTGTAGGAGGACTTCGTCGTTGACTTCGTTCGAGAGATCGCCGACGAAAATGTGGAAGTGGTTTGAAGTATCTTCCTTGTTGGAGGTGTTCGACTGGTAGGCCCAGTTGACGCGGATCTCCTGCGAGGACATTGTCAGTATCAGACGTCAGATCGAAAGAGAAAAAGCTTTGAACATACCGCCTGATGGACACGTCTGCCGTTCAAGGTCTGCATTGCACGTTCTGCCGCTGCGGGGTCGTCGTATTCTACGAAGCCGTAGTTGAAGCCTTTAGACTGTGAGGTAGCAAACAAATATTAGCTAGCCGATCTCCTCAGAAGCGCCAAGAATTGATGCAGTGAATATTTCGCGGCAGTTCTTTGCAGTTCTTTGGCAGGCTGCAACCTTGCAAGCCAAAACTGAAGTTCTGTAGCATCCCGTTGGAAGGGTGAAACTACTGGGCCTTTTCACAGCTCATTTTCCCAGACTAGAGAGATTTTTGATACGTACAGCACCTACATTCTTGTCAGGGATGATTTTGACATTCTGAACGTGGCCAGTGGTCTCGAAAATCTGGCGAAGCACGTCTTCAGTGACTCTGGGATCAAGACCTCCAACATATAAGGCGCGCTTGTTGGGCTCGGGAGCCGCCCGGCGCACAAATCCACCAGCACTATCCGGAGACATCATTCCTCCATTCTCCCCCATCGGAGAAGTGACAGCGGTAGGAATTGGATTGGTGTTCTGCGGAATGATAACCGGAGGAAGAGGTGGCGGGGGCATGTGGGTGCTGTTCTGGCCATTGTGCCCATTTTCGTAGCCAGGCGCGCCGGCGGTCGTCTGCGGTGGTGGCGGCAGCTGCGCGCTGGGAGGGAGGGGACCGTTGTCGGACATGGTAAGGGATTTCGAGAGCTGGAAGAAAGGCGAGTCGAATTTGCACTGGCGAGATATGCGATGCGGTGATATTACAGCGGCAGCACGATCCTTCGGCCGCACAATCAGCTGTTTTCAAGCTCGAGACTCCTGATACCACGGATGTATGGAAGAAGGAGGACGAGGGGTTTGGACTTGACAAAAGGCTTCTTGTGTAACTCGAACAACAAGAAGGGCGCAGAGACTCGGAAATCGGAGACGGGTTCTTTTGGGAAAAAAGAGCCGAACGAAGACGACGATGGGTGAATTTTCTTCGAGAGGAAGAAATATCGCAATGTATTACTTGCTGCGCGCGACGAAGCTCAAAGGAGGAGACGGAGACGAAGACGGAGACGAAGACGAGTGGGACGAGAACGAAGCGGAGGAGAGCTCTGCGACAGAACAGACCGCGATGGGAAATTTAAGAAGGCGACGATGATAACTGGTTTTGATAGGGAAGAAAGAGATTGGAAGAGATGAGAGGAGACGAGACGAGAGGAATAGAGAGGAGGAAAACCACTCGCGAGCCTCACGTCCTGGCGATGGACAACGGTGGATTGATTGATTGTTTGATTGATTGATTTGATTGATTGATTGATGCTGAGTAGGTAGAGGGAAATGGGGTTTTGTGTCTGGGAGGGGAGGGGGGGGGGAGGGAGGAGGGAGGAGGAGGACGAGGAGGACGAGGAGGACGAGGGGGACGAGATGGGGGATGCGGGATGGGGGGTGGATTTGGATGGGATGGCGCTAAGGAAGTAAAAAGACTGGGCTTGGCCTGTCAGACGGCAGCTAGGTACTCCGTACTCTATCCCTACCCGGCACGAGCAGATTATGAGATGCACATTACTAAGTACGGAAATGGATAATATATAATGTATAATGTATAATGTATAATGTATAATATATAACATATAATATATACTAAATACTAAATACTAAAGAACAGAATACTATGCGCACTGTACATTCCATGTTCGAGGCCAGATGTCCAGAAATATATATGCCTACATACAACGTATGATTGATTTCTCCTCGGTTGTTGACTTACCTAGCTACATACCTACGAACTCCCGAGCAAAGCCATTGATTGATTGATTGATAAGAAAGAGCACAGGTAAGACTGCGAAACGAACTACCTACCGTATCGCTATCTTACAGTACGAGGTATCCCTTACTGTACCTATCTCCCAACGACAAGTAGGCTATTGTAACTTATCTCCGAGACTAACCGCATAAGAGAGCGATTTATTTGTACACATACGTAGTACGTAGTACCTATTGAGAGCTGTGGAATTGTCATCGGGGTGATGCTCTTCCTCTACTTACAACTACCGGTACCGAGCCGAGTGTAGATACTTTCAAGATAGGGTACACCGGACAGTAGGGTATCTACTCTATCTTCCCTCCCTTCTCACCCATCACACGCAATTACTCGACCAGCGTTGTGTTTCATATGCATGGGATGAACCGTTTCGGGGCCCAGATGCCAGGGGTACTGGGGTAGGTACTAGGTACTACGTACTACTACTACGTACTACTAGTAGTACGTAGTAGTACTTACTACTGGGGCACTGTCCACTGTCAATGCAGCAAAACGGCTTGAAATGTGACACCTCCGGCCCGCAGAGCTTGCAGAAGGCCTAGCTTGGAGCGGCTTTGGCTTGGGATTAGGCTTTGGCTTTAGGCTTTGGCTTTGCTTTTTGGCTCTGCTTTTGGCTTTGCATTTGGCTTTGAGCTTTGGCTTTGGGCTTTGGGTTTTGGGCTTTAGGCTTTGGGCTTTGGGTCAAAGAGTGCTATAACTACTACTACTACCGGTACGTACAGCTACTGTGCTGTACCATCCCCCCCCCCGAATTGCTACTTGTTATAGCCTGAGGGTGCCTCAAAAGTTTAAATTTCCACTCTAAACCCCCTGCTTACCCTACCCTCAAGGGTGTAACAATTACGCCTGCGACCAACTTGAAGTAATTACTTGTATTACGGATACTACACCGTGCTTGCTGAATCTCCAACCAGAGATTGGATCTCTACCTATGGCTACGGAGAGAGCGTATTGGAAATGGCTGGCCGCCATCTGCCGTGAGCCAGGAAGCACCGACGCTGAGCGACAGGCTCAAATATAAAAAGTCGCATTCGTGAATGTTCGTCAAACAGGATACCAATTGACCGACAACTATTTTACCTATTAAATTATAGCTGTTCATATTCACATAACCTACCAGAAATTTGTTACTGCAAGTCCCTTGGCGGCGGCTAGCCGGATTGCCTGCAGCTACCTAGGCCCAAGGCTCCAAGGCTCCAAGGCTCCAAGGCTCCAAGGCTCCAAGGCTCCAAGCTCAAGCCCAAGCTCAGGCCGTTTACTTACTTACCATCCAATGTTGATATTATCGAAACCGCATCAGCCTTGCTTCTCTTTCATCATTTAGGACTCTTCAGCCTCTCACTTCCTCCTCCTCCTCCTCCTCCTCCTCAATACACCAACATAGCATGTCCTATCTCTGGAACTTCTAGATACGATCTGCTATCCACCCTGCTTTGATCAATCCCAATGGCTCCAAATCCTCCCTTGGACATCCTGCAGAGCATGATTAATGGCATCGTGAGTACCTACCTACCTACTCACTCGATCAGCAGCCGAACGACCTGTCCAACACTTCGCAAGACTTATCATAGCTAACATGGTGTAGCTCATAGAAACAGGCAAAGCTCTCCGCTCTTCGAACAAAGACGGTGCCAGGAACCCCACAAACGTAAATACCAGGCTCAAGACATTTATTCCCAGCGCTACGGAGAACTTCCACCAAGCCTTGGACGATCTCGAAAGTGACATTGTACGGAAACCGCTATATTCCTGGTCCAATCATCTAATACGTAACAGGTGCGAGCGAAGGCAGTGCTGCTGAGAGATCTGGAGGAGATCCGTTCGAAACGGATCGCGTTGGAGAATCCCGAGCCAATACTTGATGCGGACCAAGAGACAAAATTGGAGAAATCAAAGTCCAGAGATACAACTCTAGAGCCTAGTATAAACGAAAGCGCAAACGGAAGCGCACCCTCTCCGAATGTAATGATCAAGCAGGAAGTTGGCAACAAAAGCCCAGAGAAGCAGACGCTCAGCGAGCCGCAACGGGCTGTGCCAGAATTCAAATCCAAGCCACAACCCTCCGAAGACGTGGAGCTTTCCCCACGCCCAATACCAGCAGTTTCCGCGAACGAAGCAATCCCAGACTCCAAGCCAGTTAGCCTAGGAATCGACACCAAAAGTGCAGCTCCTGGATCAGATTCAGCTCCAGGAACTGCAGATCTCCAAAACTCCGCGGTCGACTCGCTTTTCGACATCCCCGAAGGCGATAATACTGCTGATTCGAAAGTAGATTTCGACCAAATGGATTTCGCCTTCCAGGACTCATCAGCCACTCAGACCCAACAAGCCACTCAGACCCAACACACATCGCAAGCGCAGACTGCCAATTTCGATCTCTCTACATTCGGCACACAAGACTTCAACATGACTGATCTCAATGCATCTGCCAACCCAGCCCAAGGGAACGCAAATGCAAGCAGCCAGGACAAGCAAGTAGATGCTTTCGCAATGGCGAGTAGTGCCGACGGAGACAACAGCAGGAATTTGAATCTAGATGTGGAGATGGCTGGAGCGGAAGACAGCGTCTTCGATGACATCTTCTTTAACGACGACGAAGCCGGGATCGGCGGGCAGGGAGAAATGCAACATGGGGATTTTGACGACGCATTTTTCGGGATCTAAAATGCAGATTGAGCGATTGCATACAGACCAGTCGTAACGGCTCAGATGAGACTTGGGTTCTTGCCTCAGATTGTTGAAATAAGTGTCTTGGGAAGTCTCATGCCCTCGCTAAACTTCGGATCTGGCTTCTGCTATTAAAATCTGCATATAGATTAATCTTCGCCCAGTTAAGATCGTACAGCTTCAAATTTTTAGCTCGAGCTTCATAGGCTTACGCTGCAATATAGAGATGGCATTGCCTTCTCTGAATGAACTCTTGAGTGAGGCAAGGCAGCCCGCTAGACAACTGGCTCCGGGCTAGCTAAATTCAACATTCCACTTTTTGGACGTCTATCATTTTCTTGTTGAATCTTTATTAATGTCTTATTCTATCGCTACTATTTTCGTCTTTTATTTATTTATCGCGTTATATACAAGCAACCGTTCCAGCGGATATGACGAGCTCGCTTAAAATGTATAGAATATCAAAATGGTAATGCTACAAACGAACGAATGATCAGCGGCTAACAAGAATTACCGCCATTCCATATTTTTTTTTAAAAAAAAAACGCTTTACCTTTTCTTGGTTACATTCTAGAGACCCGTATAAGATCCGGCTCTCTTAATCGTACTCTATCATGCCGTACCGCAGCCAGACCCATCCATCCGTCCATCCGTAGCTCAGCCGGGCTTCTCTAAGAGGGGGGGGGGGGAAGGTAGAAATGCAAAAGGATACAAAAAAGCAACAACAAAACAAAACTCCGGCCGTGGTGGGAGAAGAGAAGCCTCCGTAATGGGTTCGGTTTTCATTTTGATCCGGATCTTTTTTATCATGTGGAATTTGGTGAAATCAACAAAACAAGGAACAACCTTATCCATCATACACTCACTACAGTACGTACGGTAGGTAAAGCTCATCGAGGCATAGTTCGCGTAAATTTTCCAATCTAAACTTTAACCTTTTATTATTATTACTTACGTAGTACTAGTACTTTATCCCTCCGCCCCTTAAATAAAAGACGGACCCACCTGGCGAAAGCGTATTCTGACCGTAAAGCTGACCGCTTATGAGATGTAGCAAAATAGCGTATATATTGATCTTCTAGTATCTTGTAAGTCCTTCTTGTGCATCCATCATCGCTTGATATCGATTTTACCACGAATTATATAAAGAGATAACGAATTCTTGAGGAACTGCTTCTCAAGCGTGAGAGGTACCGGTACAACCCCCTGGTCAGCCCTTAGTAAAAATATACTTTTCGTCTTTTATTTAAGGGGGGGGGTGGGGAGGAATACGTAGTATCGACACCCTCACATGCAACGCATATTCAATTATCATAAGTATTAATCTGTTCACCAGAGTCCGTTACAGTAGTGAGTAGATTAACAATCCGATTGCTCTATGAGAAACTAGGAGTTCAGGTGATTACTTATTCACTTTTGAAGTGTGTTCATGATACAACTCTAAACGGTACGTGACTTACCGGTACCGTATCTATCCACCTTTCAATTGCATCCATGATATAATTCTAAGCGACGCGTGAGTAAGCCTCAACCTCCTTTACTAATACCTAGGTACTCATATCGCTCTTCTTTTCTTTTCTTTCTACCGTTCACCTATAATAACTGCGACAATTATCAAAATTACAACAACTGCAACAACAACCATAATCTGCCACAATAACCACAACAGCTATCAACCGTCAAACCGTAAGCCCCTTTATCCATTTGCGCGCGTGTATTGCATATGCGACACTTACCTATTGCACGCACACGCGCTTGTAGTAAACGCAGGAGGTGTTTCTCATAAAGGTAGAGATTGACGCGAACTACCTATGGATGAGCTCTAGTGAGCAAATCGATGAGCTACCGGTACCCCCAAAGATAACAACCTGAACCACTCGGCCCCAAATCGTTACGGCTTCCTCTAACACCAGCTTCAGCTGATGGTGGTAGCCACTATACCACCCACGCCACTGGATAGCTACAAAAATCTGGAGATTGAAAATCTAGCGTAGATTGTATTCTTGCGGGGGGGAGGGGGGGTTGGCAGCCAGGAAGAGTTGATTTCTTATTCACCTTTTTGTTGGCGGCTTGGTATTGATGGGATGGATATTCGTTTGCGTTGTGTATCGATGCTGAAGGTTGGATATTATGCTGTATTTCGCAGAAGGGGGGAAGAGATCAGCCTGGATTTTAATTTTTTTTCTTTTTCTTTTTGACTGTTTTAATGCTTGATTTGAGTGCTCGCGAGGCAAGAGGATGTTAGGATGTACGGACGGGACATAATCTTTGAGATCGGACGATCTCAGTGACTCACTCTGCAGTCACTTGATATTCCAATTCTCAGTCTGCTCTTGCTTCATCACGATTTGCGAGACTTGCTTACTCAGTTTAGTGCATTGTGTATGCGAAGTGATAATCTCATTCTTGATGATGGAAATGATAAAAAGCATCAATCGATGCAAGGTAGTCTCGCACATCTCCGGGCCTTTGGGAGTCTCCGTTAGCCCCAGTTTTCACCACAGAAGCTGGTACTTTGGTCGGAGAGATCGGAAGAATCGTCTCGACGGTCGTAACCGACGAAGTCAATTGTCTTCATCACTGAAGCATTGCCAAAGCTGCAGCGATCCGGATCAGAACGAACCTTTTCGGAGTGCACGTTACCCTCCGTACCACCCATGCTTCCATTAACGTAGTCGATGACTGCTGTATTGAGATCAATCGGTTCCTAATTATGCTTGATATCCTGTTCAGCCGCAGCTACATCCTCCGCTGAAGGGAGCCTTTCGAGATGCGAGAGTGCTTCCTGACGAGTCATACCGCCTAGTCAAATGACTCTGAAAGCTTCAGTTGAAAAGATGGATCCAATCGAGCTGATTCCTACTCTGGAAACAACATTTGCTGGAAGGATCAGCATTCTAAATGATATGAAAGACGATACCAAACTTACTTGCTGTTTCCCCCTTCTGTTCTCCGGTCGCTGAAGTGGTATCTCTCATCAAGGTTTCATATTTCGTTGAGACGATCTCTTCCAGAGACGCGATTGCCTCCTCAGAAGTGATATCATCTGGTGAAATAATGGCTTCCATCGGAGTAACGGCCTCCATTGAAGTAACGGCCTCCATCTCAGTTGCGGTAATAGCTTCTGTGGACGCAATGGATTCCGCAGAACTGATTTCTTCCCCCGAAGTAACATTTTCTAAGAAAAATTAGCATCTAACATCGTACCCGAAACGATACAGAACTTACCAGCCGACTCCCCCGTCTCTCCTCCCGCCACTGACTTCACCTCATCAACCGTGTTTTTCCACCAGACCATCTCGACAAACCTCTTCTTCAAGTACGCCGCCGTGCCATCCTCTGAGGTACCTCATCCAGCCAATGCCCACAATCTTTGCTTCACGTAGCCGCCGAGCTGAAAGCGCAATTGTCAGCGAGCTGTGCAAAAGCAAAACAACTTTTGGTTAACAGGAAACTCACCCCAAGCCTTGTCTTCGTCTTCGCCTTCGCCTTTGGCTTTGGCTTTTCGATCCTATCGCCTCTCATCGCCAGACCTCGGGCTTAGATAAATACCTTCTGCGAGCCCTGTTGTAATCATGGATTAGTAGCCGTGTGTCGCCAAGCGTGGAGGACATGCCTTCTGGGATGTTTTCTGCGAGGGAGCCATTGGTTGTCTTGGCTGGGGAATATGTAGATCTAGGTTGCTGTGGACGGTTGGTTGTGGGAGACGAATTGAAGTGGAGAGAAAATTCGATTTAGGCCGTATCAGCATAAGCTTATTAGCGAGAGTCCGAATGTCAACAATCATAAGAGGCAGGGAAGGTTGGGGGTTGTCAAGAGCGACGAGCAAACTTTAGTATAGGAGAGAAGCGTATTGATACGAATGTAAGTCTGGGGTCTGATAGCGGGTTCAGTGACTGAAGGCGGAGACAAGACCCATGTGTAATGAATTCTGCAAGTGGTGTGGGAACTGAACTAGGAAGAAATCCAATAACATAACAACTTCCACCTCTGTTGTTTGATTACTTTATATGGGCGGTGAATAGCAAGATCCGAAGTCTCAAATTCACATAAAAGCTATAATATGCGGTGCTTCCTAGCAGCAGATAAGATCGAGCTGGGAAGCCGAAGCCTGGTTCTGATAGCAGCCATCCAAATTTGAGAGATAAATTGGAACCAAATCTTCCGAATTCGTATCGAATTCTTCCTCCACGTCTTCAAGACTGGGGATTGAAGCTCGGTTGGCCATCATGCATGAACGGAGAACCTGTTCTTCTGGATCAGGTTGCCCCTGGAGAAGCTCTGATACTGTAGATCTGTACAGATTTACTTATTAGCGATAATATTCCTGAACTCAGGCACTGGTTTACCGACCATATGGCCTAGAGCTCAGAGTAATGTGAGTGAGTGGATGAAGCATTGTCAGAAGGTTGGTTTGCCGCGCTGCAAGTCTCCGACGCGAAACCTCCACCTGCTTCTGCTTGAACATCCATTTCACTCGGCCAGTCATGGTCAGCGAGGTTTGATCTGATACCTGATTCTTGGCTTCTCCGGATCTAATAAACCCGTTCGACAATCCTTCTTACCGATTGAAGAGATCCCCACAGCTGGAAATGACATTTTAGGTATTCTGAAGCACATCTGGAGAATACTTGGAGCCCTCTCCGTCAAACAGGGCTCGCAGCTGACCGAGAGTATTCGCGAACTGGGATAGTTCGAGGGCGACGGAGTTAACCTCTAATTCTGCATCGGCAAGTGTGGAGCTCAGAGAGTAAAGACGAATAGATAGCTTGGATGCCTCGATTAGCTGGATAATGCTAGCCACAGAGCCAACTACTGCCACCCGTTCCAAGTTTGAGAATCTGGTGAAGAAAGAACAAACAACTTCAAGTTATGGGTTGCAATGCATGGTTGTGGGGTAAAATACTCTGGGTGACTGGAGTCTATAGGGTGAGGGCAACCCTGGGGCTTCAACCAGACATCTAAAGAATAAGTAGATACTCTTCGGAGACTATGGGAGCTGCTTGTATCGTACGGAAAAAATGGTAACAAACTCGCAAGGGTTTTGAGATGGGAAAGCCTTCTCTGCTCACCCTTGCCAGCCGCCCGGCGCTCCTTCCGTCCAGGACCTCAGCACTGCTACTCACCATGAACCCATGAGCTGGCGAAATTGAAGAAGGCGTGGTTTCCAAGAACAAATAGATAGCATCGAGGCGAGTAAGCCTGAATTATATGAATCGGAGGAAGATTCAAAGGAGAGAACGCATAGTCGGAGCAAGAGCCGCGGGAGAACTTGCTGGCTGACTTGGACGAAGAATCGACCACATGGATAACACATTGTAGAAGGGCCTTGTGCAAGATTACACCGTATGAAATAGTCTCAATAGCCAAAGACAACGACAGCATCACCCGCAACATCCCTCTTGCACAAATGGTGACACCTCCAACTGTAACCAGTATCCCTCTTATCAACATTTAGATTTTCCACGTGCCCGTGAAAGCTGAAGCAATTTTGTACCCGAAAGGTAAGGGATGATTCCAGTCAAGCTATGGTGAAGACAACGAGGATACATAGAAGAAGCGAATCTAAACTCGCGTTCGCAGCTATGCGAAGACGATGGATAGATTGCCTGGGGTGTAAACGCCTTAGCCAGATCTTCGAGGGAGATAAGGAGCGCGTCCTAGTCTATCATTCTCGGCTCACTTCACAAACTGATCCGAAAGCTGCCGCTATCCAAGCGAAGGCCAGGCATTCACGTTAAATACCCTTGGGAGAACGACTTAGGGCTCTATAATTTGCCCGGTCTGTGCTGGCCGACACAGACTCTGGCCGAGGAACGAAATAGACATGAAAACCCGGATCTGGAAAGTACGGCAGACTTCGACCGGAAATCGGCTCTCAATCAGAAAGCTCTGGATAAAATTCTGGTGGTGCTATTGCCACTTGGCGCAATTTACCGAGACACTTGCGTTTGCCCTGTGGCATTGATTGGCCTGTTGCCATTTACTGTAATTGCGTCTCAACCTCCCACAAAGCCACGACCTTTTGTTGCGATATGTGATTTCAAGGTTGCTTAGCATTTTTCCTAGCATCTATCGACACAGATGCTGCCAAGTCTTCGCCCATCCGTAAGCAAATCGAGGAACCATCCCACGCCATGCAGAACACAAAACCCCTTTACCGATTGCTTTTGGCGACACGCTCCAACTCATCTTTCTTCTTGATGGCGTACGAGTTACTGGACCCCTTCGCGGCGTTGATCAACTCCTCAGCCAAGCACTCAGCGACTGACTTGATGTTACGGAACGCAGCCTCGCGGGCACCGATCGTGAGGAGAGCGATGGCCTGGTTGACGCGGCGGAGAGGGGAGACATCGACGGCTTGACGACGGACGGTACCGGCGGAACCGATACGGGTTGAGTCTTCACGGGGACCGCAGTTGACGATGGCGTCGACGGCGACTTGGATAGGGTTTTGATCGGTCATGATGTGGACCTACGAAGCTTGGAATCAGTGTATTGCCCTCCCTGCCTAGGTGCGCTAGACGTACGATCTCAAAAGCGTGGGCGACGATTCGGACAGCCATGAGCTTCTTTCCGTTGTTGCGTCCGTTCATCATCAGGGAGTTGGTGAGACGCTCGATGATTGGGCATTGTGCCTTTCTGAATCTCTTCTGGGCGTATCGGCCGGCGGAGTGGGAGATGTAGACTGGGGCGCGGATCTGGATGTAGTCGCTGCAAAATACCATGGTTAGCCAGAGCCTCGCATATGGTCCATTAGGTTTCCGTGCAAGTATATCCTCCCGATTCCGCCCAATGTACGGTCCAATTTGTCTTCCGAAGGGGAATATCCTTACGTCAAGGAGATGTCGCGGATCTCGACATCCTCGTAAGACCACTTGTTGAACAGCTTGATGCTGCCAATCTCGGCGGTGACATCCTTGGGCAGAACCTGGTATCCGGAGACGGTCTCAACCTCGATTTCCTCGTTGTCAGACATGGTGGCGATGGGGATTTCCGACTTTGCCGATGGTAGTTTGGAGAATTTGAAGTTCGTCTGGACGGCAAAACGAGGTCTTTCGCCTAAGAATTTCTCGCCCACAATGAATTAAAGCCACTAGCACCGACAAGGCTTAGCTGTGGCGCTTTGGAAGAGCGAAGCCCTAATCATCACGTGTCAGTGGGTCCACAATAAGCGAGAATTGAACCACCATGATCACCGTGTGAGATTTTATGGTGGCGGAGCGGACATTCGAAACTCCAACGACAACAACAACGAATCAATCATCATGGGTACGTTTTCATTCTCCCTGAAGACATCTACAGCTTTAAATCTCTGCGATGCGGTCACCATCACCTATGGGCTCTCTGTGGCTCTTGGGCGGTACCCAGGGCGACCATCCTCTTTGACCTGCTCAGTCTCATCTTCGAACCGTTGGTTTGCGAATAGCTTCAACTGACGACCTATTTAGCTCCAGCTAACACCGGCGCAAAGAAGCAAAAGAAGAAGGTATGTAAAACATTTGAATCCTGTCTCTCGAGTTCGAATACGTCGAGTTTGAAGATAATGACTAGGAGACGAACATCGCTAACAATTATCCCAGTGGTCCAAGGGAAAGGGTCAGTACATCTGCGACTTCGACCTGTGCCGATTCTAACCAACACGCAGTTAAGGACAAGGCTCAACATGCCGTCATCCTCGACAAGGCCATTTCCGACAAGCTCCAGAAGGATGTCCAATCGTACCGTCTCGTCACAGTCGCTGTTCTCGTCGATAGACTAAAGATTAACGGATCCCTCGCAAGAAGATGTCTGGCGGATTTGGAGGAGAAGGGACAAATCAAGAAGGTTGTCGGACACAGCAAGTTGCAGATCTACAGTACGTTTCCACGAGATCTTTGAAAGAGGAACATGATCCTGGATTGTGGATTGATGCTAAAAAATGCATAGCTCGTGCGATCACCGCTGCAGAATAGACGATTTCAGCACCTGTTTCTTCTATCTTCGTCACCAGTCACCCTTATTTCGATAACGATCCGACAGTGGGCGCGAATGGGTATGGATTGGGCATTTGCAATGGGCATGGGATTTGATTTCGCGGTGTAGCATATCAAATCGAACTGCTTCCGCAACTCCAGAACCTTCGAGGAACATGGTATGATGTGAATTTGCACTGTTTCTGGTTGCGCATTGAGCCAGCTGCGAATGGAATCGTGACTATCCTTGGATGTTGTAACTGGGAACAAGGGTACAGGACGAGTGTCTGCATGCAATGGAGGAAGGTGTCGTGGGAGAGTGTGCTTAATGATTGAGGATTCCAACCAACTGAAATATCCAAGCTTCCCTTCCACAGGAACTCCAAACCACAATCCAGGCTTGTATTTTCGTATCTGAAGTCCCATTATGCCGCACTGAATGCATAAACCTTCACTTCAGACATACTTATCAATTTCGTGCGTCCAACTGGCTGTCTCACCCCACATTTGGGGACAAGGCTAACGGCGAGGCCGGGCCCGCGATGTAAGTAACAAGCCCTCTCTCCATCGGAACTACCTGTCATCTCACCATCCCATTGCATTCACATATACCCCCCGCCACGCATTGCAATTCCGAACCCTTTTCAACAGCCAAAATGTCTAGCCCAGAAGCCATCCGCCAGCGCAGAAAAGACGGTACATCACCCCCCGGCCCAGCAACTGAACCCAAGACGTCAGAGAAAGAAGAGGCCACGCCCACGCTCTCGCTGGCAGACCGCGTCAAAGCAGAGGACAGCGCCTTCAGTTTCGTCGATGTGGCGCGTATCCTCGTGTTCCTGCTGCTGGCGAGCAGCGCGCTGAGCTATTTTGTCACGAGGGAGAGCTTTACATGGAACTTGAAGAGGCCGGGCTGGACGAGGGTTGAGACGATCAAGACGTGGATTGTGCGTTTTTCCTTTCCCTTCCCTCATTACACATTCTTTCGTTCTAGCTATGCCGCTCACCGGCAGCTTCCTACATGTCGGAGAATGCCGCAGGATTCATAGTTGTAGTTACGGGAATGAGGCACAAGGGCTGATACAGCATGTGAACAACAGGCCGGTCCGCTCTCTCTCACCGACGCCGACCTGGCAGCCTACGACGGCACCGACCCGACCAAGCCCATCTACCTCGCCATCAACGGCACCATCTACGACGTCTCGCTGGGACGGCGGCACTACGGGCCGGACGGCTCCTACCACTTCTTTTCGGGCAAGGACGCGTCGCGCGCCTTCGTCACTAACTGCTTCCTGGAGGACGGTAACCCGGACCTGCGCGGTGTCGAGCAGATGTTCCTCCCGCTCGACGACTACGACGTCGACAGCCTGTACACCAAGTCGGAGCTTAAGATTATGCGCGAGAAGGAGCGCCGCATCGCCCGCACCAAGGTCCATGACGCCCTGAAGCACTGGGTCGATTTCTTCGAGAAGAGCGACAAGTACCCGCGCGTTGGCCGCGTCAAGAGGGAGAAGGGCTGGATGGAGAAGGGGGAGGTTAAGAAGCTTTGTAAGAAGGCCCAGGCGGGGAGGGTGAAGAGGCCGATTCCGCCCGGGAAGCAGATTTAGAAGCTGGACTTGGAGGCTTTTTGTAAACGAGTTTTTTTCTTCTTCGAAGAATATGCTTTGTTGATGTTGGCTCCCTTTGTGTATATCACTCCCTTTGTGTATATCAGATGCTGGGAATGAAGGATCTGTCTGGATGGACCCAGACCGGCGGAAAGGAAGGAGGGAAATCTCAGTATGTTAATTGGAAAGCTCATTTGCTTCCCTGATCATTCCATGATGCATGCTGTGAACTCTTTCTTGAGCCCTAGTGCCCGCCGAAGAAGTCCTGTGTGTCCCTCGGTTGAATTTTTTTTTCTTCCAATATTTTAAGACCGGACATTTCAATTTCTATTTCTATCGTGTACATACAAGCAAACCCATAAAATGGTGATGTGTTGTGCCTACAAGACCATCAATTCCCCAGAGCCGGTAGATCCAGACGTCTTCCTATAAGCAGTCTTCAAAGGTTCCAAGGGAACAAGCAAGGTCCAGCCTTTCTCTCTCACTTTATACGAGACAACCTATCAACTCGCAAGACGGAAAAAACCAAGATACAAAAGCTCGCAACGCGTTGAAATTCGAGTAGTGAATTTTCGCACAACCGACTATTGGTCTATTGAACATTAAGTATTCATCCCCGGTCTTTTATCGTCGTAATTCAAGAATCGCGCTCTCTGTTGTTCTCTTCTCTGTATACAGACAGAAAGATGCGGTAAACATCCGCCTCCTCATCTTCGCAATCAGTCAGTCATTCCACCGAAATACTATTTTACTTTACTACTGTATATATCTTGGTATAAACGTCCTCAACTCCAGCAGGCCATCAAGGCTCGAACCCGCAAACCCGACACGAACGCACGCAAATCGACATCGACTTGTTGTAGAATTTGAACAAAACATCCTGCTCACGTTGACAACGCCGCTCTTCTACAGGAGGAACGCAAGACCGATTGTCAGCACCAGTCCCAAGGTACTCGAGGCTCGGACGAGGTGTGGCGCGGCCGCGGTTTGCGATGCTGCAATGGGGGTGGAGGTCAGAGATCCCGCTCCAGTTCCCGTGCCGGGCGCCGTGCCGGAAGTAGAGTTGGTGCCAGCCTGGTCTCCAACCGCAGTCCCGCTGGCCGTGCTTGCCTTCGCTAGCGTCCTGTAGTTTTCCAGAGTACGCGAGGCGTTGGCGGCCGTGTCCTCATTGATGACCATCACCATGCCGCCCTGGCAGTGCTGGGCCTGCGAGCAGTACAGCCACATGGGCGTCTGGTCCTTGATCATGACGGTGTACGTTGGTGTGGTGGTCGAGCTGGCCGACACGGGCATGAAGCCCGAGTAGATTCCCGCGCCGCTGGAGCCGGCTGGGGCGATGGGCTGGCAGGGCTGGTCAAAGGTCGACTGCGTCACGCTATGGTTGTTGGGCGCGAACTGGAACTGCACCATCTCGCCAACGGCTGCCTTGATGTTATCGGGGGAGTAGATGAGGGACCCGTTCATGGCGCCGACGCGGACGACGTGGACTTTTATGCCTGCTGATTGTGCTGTTCCAACATGTAAGCGTGAGGTTTTGCGAAGGGGTGTGAGAGGAGATGGGTAGGGGACCTACCAAGTGCAGAGCAGATGCTCAGGGCAGACAGGGCGAGGGTTGTGAATTGCATGTTGAAGGTTTGAGTACAGATCTCGCTCTCAATGTTATAACCAGTGTATCTTTGTCGTAGTGAAGAAAATTAGGCGTCTAGCGCTCGTGTCGAACTGGCCGACGATTAAGGATGGATCTAAATAATACGAAAAGGACGTACAGAGGGGAATAGAGAGTAACCGGACCCAAGCAGGAAGAGAGATGGAATAGGATGGCTCGAGAGGTGATGCTGAGGGAAGATAGAGGCCCAGGATGGGCGAGGGCAACGCACGGCATAAATAACCAGCTCGCTTCCGTTCGAATGGTCTGGTGCTCGAGGGCCACTCGCCCTGCCTGTTCCACCAGAGAGGGATGGATATCGGGCTGGCTGGCTGCTCTAGCGAAACGTGTTTTGCCGTGGCTCAAACGAGTCGGTCTGTAGCGCTCAGAAATGGACTTGGGATGGCATCTTGAACGGGCTGAACAGAGAACTTGGCAATTCTTTCAGTGCGGAAAACCATGAAGCCATACAGAAAGTCAATAGGCTCAACACCCACTCTGGTACACTTGCATCCTGGACAACCAATTCTGACTCTCGAGTCCCGGTTGGGGGTAAAGGACAACGATACATCGTCTACTCATCCTCTCAGCCATCGATCGCTCTGGGCAAATCTCGAGATTGCCAATGCATGCGCTCAGTGCTCAGTGGCGAGTGGAAAGCCCTCGCTGCGATGACGAAGCGCGATACCGATGAAGCACGGCAGCGTCTCGGTCGCGACGCCGACAAAACACGGTGGGTTTCATAGCCAGGACCAAAGGCGCCAGCCCCGTGACTGTGACACCAGATGGCAGCGGGCTATGACTCCTGTCACGCAGATAATGGATTGGATGATGGCCGGTGCCGTTGCCAGGCAGGCTGATTGATGATGGAAAGGACGTGGAAAGAAAGGTTGGGGCTTAGCGAGAGGGTGAGCTCGGTAAGCGAGACGGCCTAGGGGGTGGAGACGAGATCGACGACGACTTGGAGACCTCGGCGGCTGCTATATAGCTTATGTAGCCATTATCATTTTTTAAGAGCGTAGGTAACACTCAGTGCCGTCGCTGCTAATAGTTCGGGAGACTGGTGAAAGGGAAGTGCGACTTTGGCTGGGATAGACGAGAGAAGAGAGAGAAGAGAGAGGGAGGGAAATGTGTTCCAAGCTTTGCTCAATGAGTTGTGCTTCCATCCTACCTTATGCTATAAGCTATTTACACATCCATCGTGTGGTGTATATGCCATGCCACTATGAGAAGATTCCTGCCCTATGATCGATCGCCAGCCAGAAACTCCAAGGCAAACCTATCCCTTTCCCCAAACTCCTTTCAAGTCTCCTACCTCATCCAATTTCCCCTTATCACACACATACATAGGGACACGCTTTCTCTTCATGCCCTAATCCCCTCACCACCTATACCTATCCCAACCTCAAAAATCCAGGATAAGCTGCGGCGCCGCCCTCTCCAGGTCCTCCACCTCAAGATACCCCCCATTCCCTCCCGCGTTCACTCCCCCCTCCCCATCTCCCTCCCATCCGTTCTCTCTCGCCCATTCAGCCCTCGCCACCCCTTCCCTCACAAACGTCTCGATATACCTCCCAACAGCCGCATTCGCATCCTTCGTGATGCGCGAGCCGGGCTGCTTGAAGAAGCTGTGCAGCAGCACATTGATCAAGTCTGTTGGAATCGAAGCTCGCGCCTCTGCTGGCTCGTCCAAGGCTCGGACGTGTGAACTATCGGCATTCGCGTTCGTCTTACTAGTCCTCGAACGTTTTTTACGCGGGGGTTGCGAGGAGAAAGGATCATCATCGTGGTCATCGTCGTCATCGTTATCGTCGCCTTCTATTTCTTGATCTTCATCTAGGCTCACAGTACTCGCTTCTGGCATCGTTGTTTCCATCATCTCCGTGTCCTCTTCTTCTCCTGCCCCCGTCTCATCCCCATCCAGCCCCGAATCCAAACCGAAATCCAGTTCTTCATCTTCTTCGTGTTCACCTCCCTCGTCCTCCCCTTCCCCTTCTCCTTCTCCGTCAGAAGAGTCAATACTCAGCGCCGTAGACACGCTGGCGTTCGAGACTCGAGGCTTGATGAATGCGCTTCCTTTCGCGCGGGAGACTGCTTTTGGGGCGGCGCGCGGTGTGGCGGATGTGGACTTGCGTTTGTGGGAGGGGTTCGTGGATGGGCCTTTGGGACGACCGCGGGGTTTGGAGTCGGTGTTTGAAGAGGATTGTGGGCGGGGTGGGTTGAAGGGTTTGGGCGGCATCCTTAATGCCGGGGAGATAGAGTTAAACGTTTGAAATGAGGTGTAAGGGTTTTTAGTAAGGGAGTGTGATGGGTTGCTGTTTGGGTGGTCTTGACGCGATTCTACAAAGAAGTCAAGACGCGAAGTGCACTCACGGTTGCACGTGACGGCAAGAATTCCCTAGTGATTGAAATATCCAACTAATCAATGGAATAGCTGGTAGATAGACTAGAGAAGGGCTAGAAAGATAATGGTAGGGTAGTCTTGATAGAGAGTATTTCGTTGTTTCGATTGGTCAACAAGATCTCTGCTTCAGAGTCACAAGTGATTTTAATCACTTTGAAATCACTTCCTTTGCACTAGCCCATCCTTGTAGAACTCATACAAAGAACATCTAAACAAGGCAATTAACTACACCGGATAAAATCCTAAACGACAACAGGCAGTACCTGAGAATAAGGTAGAGCAGCAGCTAGAACACCTGGCCTGGGTACCACCATGCCTTTTGGAGAACTCGAAAAACGCCAGGTGCTATGCCCCCAAGAGAACATGCAAGACCATCTCTCGTCACTCTTCGATCCTCTCCGAACATCATCAACTACACCCTTCATTCCATATGTATACCCTTTAACACCTAGCCTGGCTCCGCCCTCGTACCCCACCGCTGCGAATCGCAGGCGCACTAATATCTCTTCTTGGTCCGCCTCCTTCGACCATCTGCTTGCGAGGAGTCATGGTTCCTTGGGCTAGGCTCCTCGCACGGCCTCTGCGTTCACGAATTTGTGCAAGAGCTTCCTCTCTCGACATCGTAGGGCTCAATGCTGGGTCGAGCGCTGAAGGGAGGAGCGTGGGCGTGAGATCTGGGGCGTTGGCGAGAGGAATTCGGGTCGTTGTACTGATGGTGTGGAAAGTCGGAATCATGGTATGCTTGACTGGCGACTCGTCCTCAGGCTCAGGTTCTTCTGCCGGGGCAGGCATTATAGTGGCTTCGTTGTCGTCCTCGTCCTCATTACTAGCTGAGCTTTGGGGAGCGTCAAGTATAGAGAGCAGGGACATATCGGTAATGAGGGCTGAGGCTGGGGGTTCGCAGGAGGGTGTGCGGGCGAAGGAGCGATGCGTTTCAAAGACTGGTGCTGCTTGCGTGGAGGAATTTTTTGCGGATGAAATCCAAGGCAGCTCTTCAGGTGTTGGCGATTCTGGTGTGAAGATGCCTTCAGCTGGGACGATGACTGTAGTTGACCTGCCAGCATGGTGGATATTCTCCGTTGTAGGCGCTACTGTAGGTGCCGTGCAGATTTGTGTAGCTTTTGAGATACAGCAGTTCATACGGCATTCCAATTCCAAGAACTCAACTCGGTCGTGCGCGCGGTTCGCTCGTTGTCGTTCCCACTCCAGTAACATCCGCATGTTTTCCAGCTCCTCCTCGCTCGCAGCAGACGAAGTAATGGAAAGCAAATCCATACTCTTCCTTGCCTTTTTCGGACTCGCAAATTCATCATCCTCCGCCAGCGTGGGTAGCGGTATTCTCCCCTCCGCTGCAATCCTCGCAATCTCCTCATTCTGCGCAATAGTCCGCAATGCATCCCTCTCCTGCTCCACCAGCCTAATCTGCTCTTGCACCTGATGCAGCTCCTCCTGCACACCCACCAGCTGGTACCGCGCCGCAAACGCCTCTTGCTCGCGATTCACACTGCGCTCTTTCTCCTTCTCGAAGTCCGCTTGTGACGACTTCAGTGCGTGGCGCGCGGACTTAAGCTCCTCTTGCAGCTTCACGACGACGGACTGCGACTTGAAGGACTCTTTGCGCGCGCGCCGGATCTCCTTCTCCCATAGCGCTTGCGTGTGCGCGTGAGTTTCTTTCGCTCTGCCGTAGTTTTCCTACAAACCGACAGGTAAAAAGTCAGCAATAATCCCACTTGAATTGCGCCGGCAGCTTCAAGCGGACGTACCATGACGCTTTCCAAACGCTCCCCCACCCGCTGCTCCCTGAGCCTGCTCTCCTCTACCTGTCGCCTCAGCGCCCTCACATCCTCCCTATATCTGCGCATCTCACTCTCGGCCTCCTCCCTACCCAGCATCGCTCGTTTGAGCGCCGCATCGTTTGCCTTCCGCTCCAGTTGCTTCCCTTGGAATGCAAGACTATTGAATGCAGCGACTTTCTCGTGCACGCTGCTCTCACGGGCGTGGCGGGTTAGAGAGCCGGCGGGGGATTCGTCAAAGATTGAGTTGCGCTTCTGGTTGACGCGTTCCGGGGAGACTTGGAGAAGCGGCGTCCCAGGCGAGCCGGGGAATTTGAAAGTTGAATCCATGCTCTAGGTATATGGACGGGATCTGTTAGAGTCGAAGAGACCGAGTTTTTGGGAGTCGTGGGTGTGGAGGGTCTAGGGATCTGAATCAGAAATGTTGTGTCATCTGTAGACTTGTTTACAAACGAGGGGTGCAGAATGCGGCTTAGCGGCAGCGGCAGGAACTGAACGTCGCTATGGTGATGGGCTACCCAGATAACGGGGATGCATCTTCAACATTTAGTTTCTCGTCTAGTCGCAAAACATTAAAAGTTTGAGATGCATCTAAATTGTTTTTACTCTTACATTTCCAGAGTCTTTTCTTGACTTGCTCGCTGCTTGAAAGGCGCTCCGGAATCCGTCTGTACTGCAGCTTCATGGAAAGCACAAAAACCCCAGGGTTTTCGCAACGAGATCAGGACTCTGAGAACTAGTCCATGCTTGGCCAGAGACAGTGCTGCACGGAGTAATCCTCGATTCCTCCAATCCTATTTGGCAGAAATAGGTTTAAATCCAGGCTATTTTGGGTAGCACGTTCATTCCTGCACTCTAAAGAGCTGCTCCAGAGGAGTTCATGAGGGCAGGAAGATTTTGCTATCGAAGCATGTTTAGGCCTTGTGCTCAGTTTGTAAGTGCCAGTTCGTAGCGTTACCAAAAGGGCTATCATGCTATCCCCCCCTCATAAAGCAATTGTTTTTCATGACCTCGAAATTGTATAGAGTTACTGAACAGGCCCATGTTAGAGTAAGGAAAGGGAAGACCTTGAAGCTCATTTCTAGTCACTTTCCCTTGCCAATTTATGGCCCTATGTCCTAAAGCAGGATTGAGAATTCCTCTAGAAAAGATAGGTGACTTGATGTTCCGAAATGTCTTGTCACGTAGTGGCAATATGGAAGCCACCGTGGAATTATTTTTCCTCATAGTAAGGGAGCTGGCTAGTAATTAGCCCTCTAGTCGGCTCAATATGAGTGAGATGCTTTCCGAGCAGTACGGACTCGATGCGCTGTGGCTCATGGAGAACTGACTACCTGCATACAACACTCATCGGTGATAGGGGTAGAAACCGACTCAAAGGAAGCAGCCATACCGTCGTCGTCCACTACGCAATGGCTCAGTGCCCTCAACAGATTTACTTACCCACACACAACGACTTTGAACTGAGAGGAGAATCCTGCAGAAGCCACCCCCGAGGTCTCCATGGCACAACAATATGCAGATATGTAGGTACCTTTGAATGCTGCCCGGAGGTTCCCCTATTATTCCTTTCTTAGGAAATGACGGGCCCACAATAGTTGCGAGGTCAACAACTCCGACTAGTGAGTAAGTATCGATGGGGAAACACAGAACAGGCAGAAAAGTTGTTAGACATTAAAGTGAGCGTTCCATTATTTGGTGGTGAGATTGATTGAAATGGGACAAGATACCCAGATGGTTGTATACCTACCTACCAGTACATATAATGATTGTGATGATTCCCACTCGGAACGGGAATACACGGGATGCGAGCGTTAGCGCCAAATGCCTAGCGCCGTCCCGCCTCACAGACTTTTTAGAAGCTCTGTCCTCCTCGAAACCTCTTCACTGAACATAAATTCTCGTTCGTCCGAGCCCTTACCCTCATCCTCCATACCTCGCAACCTCTTTTCTTCTTCATCAACCTCCCATCTTCACATCCCCCCCCCCACATCTCCACTCACTCTTTGATCTCCAGATCACCACCGCAAATATGAGCAACGAAGCCCCTAAGAAGGAGTCCGTCATGGGCGTGTAAGTTCCAGCTTTTCTCCTTCTCTTTGCCCTAACCTCAACGTGCGTATCTCGACGTCAATTGGCCTCTCATCCAGGATCCACCATAACATATCAGCCATCGCAGTTCGATATCAATGGCACCCAATTGAGGTCGGGCAATGACGTCGAGATATCGCTGGACCTGCGGCAGGCATCATCGTCGCTCAATGGCCGGCAATGCAAATCTCTCCATCAAATTTCAGCTCTATTTTGTGACCACATGCTGACATCATCACGAACAGACCTCCTTTCATTATCGATTTCTTGAGTACGTCTCCCTGCTTCCGAACTGGAATATCTACATCTCTCTGCCGACGCGGTGGATTTGAATGGCTTCGGAATGGTCCCACATGGATAGCAGCAACTAACTCGCGATAACAGTGGGTGGTGTCTCCGCCGCCGTCTCCAAGACTGCCGCCGCTCCCATCGAGCGTGTCAAGCTCTTGATCCAGAACCAGGTAACTTTCTCTCCCTCCCATGTCTTTTGAATTTCACATATTCTTGCCGGGTATCCGATCTGGGTAATATGCACTTGATGCCAAGACGCCTCTCTACCAATATACACATACTATCTATTTACGCATTGCCATGATGATGCAGATATTATCTAACAATATTTCAACCATGTAATTCATACTGACGCACTCCTGCAGGATGAGATGTTGAAGACTGGCCGTCTTGACCGCAAGTACGATGGTATCGTCGAGTGCTTCAAGAGAACCACTGCCCAAGAAGGTGTTGCATCTCTCTGGAGAGGAAACACAGCCAACGTTATCCGTTACTTCCCTACACAAGCCCTCAACTTCGCGTTCCGTGACACCTACAAGTCTATGTTCGCCTTCAAGAAGGAGCGTGATGGATACGCCAAGTGGATGATGGGTAACTTGGCTTCCGGTGGAGTAAGTCGTCCCCTGCCATACTATGTGAAAATAATCCTAATATCCTACAGGCTGCCGGTGCCACCTCTCTGCTCTTCGTCTACTCCCTTGATTACGCCCGTACCCGTCTTGCCAACGACAACAAGAACGCCAAGACTGGTGGTGAGCGTCAATTCAACGGCCTGGTGGATGTCTACAAGAAGACCTTGGCTTCCGATGGTATCGCCGGTCTCTACCGTGGTTTCGGTCCTTCCGTCGCCGGTATTGTCGTTTACCGTGGTCTCTACTTCGGAATGTACGACTCCATCAAGCCCGTTCTCCTCGTCGGTCCTCTTGAGGGTAACTTCATTGCCTCCTTCCTTCTCGGATGGACCGTCACCACTGGTGCCGGTATCGCCTCTTACCCCTTGGACACTATCCGTCGTCGTATGATGATGACCTCTGGTGAGGCCGTCAAGTACAAGTCTTCCATGGATGCTGGTCGCCAAATCATTGCCAAGGAGGGCGTCAAGTCTCTCTTCAAGGGTGCTGGTGCCAACATTCTCCGTGGTGTTGCCGGTGCCGGTGTGTTGTCTATCTACGATCAAATGCAGGTCTTGATGTTCGGCAAGGCCTTCAAGTAAACGATGACCTCTGTAGTATAGACTGGTGCGGTGGGTGTTCGGTGGAGGTTGGTAATGGAGCGGATGGTGTGTGACGGCGGAGGTTGGGAAGCACGTTGCGGCAGGTGGAGGTTGTTACAGACATCCATTGCTATGGTGTTGAGCAACTCGTAGGGATCTGTGGTTTGGTGACCACAGTCTCTGCTGTACTTATAACTAGGGCAATTTCCTCTGTTTCCTTTGCCTTGCCGCTCTTTCTTTCCTGGTCCTTTTTTCTTCACGGTCAATTTGCATGCATGGTCAATAGAATACAAAAGCGGTGTGTGCTGGCAGTTAAAAATCGATTGGAAACAATCAACACTTATATCTTGCTTGGATTCGTGATATTCGCGTTTGTCTCTGCTACGGCGCAGTACTCTGTGTTTATGGTCATCTTTACTCCCTTGCCGTCGGACTTGTCGCAGTCCTAAATGTTAACTTCATGCTCACAGTCGATATAACCAAACGAATAAAGAGGCCGTAAGATAACGAAGAAACCAACCAATCAACCAACCAATCAACCAACCAACTCACTCACTCACATTCGTATCTTCTTTCTTTTTTTTCCTTCACGCATCTATTTGCTGCGAATGAATAGCCAATGCCCGCTTCTTGCCCCCTCGTTTCCCTACCCGCATACAGCAGGTGAGTCTGGTTGGTTGGCTCTTCTGGCTTGATCCGTAGGTATGGTTGTCGTCAATGATATTCCCTCGAGGGGTTCCAGTTCTGACTCCTTCCTCCCATGCTGTTTTGTCCAGTCGGAGAATTGCAACAGGTCGGAGAACTTTTCCATGCTTTATTATATTAGATGATGTGACGTGATATCCTTGTTCGCAGATCGGAAGGTCGTTCTTCATCGTCGTCGTTGATGTAATCTGTGGGATCTATATGTCTCTGTGTATACCTCTGGACTGCCGGGGTGTTTACTTGCTACTGATGCGTTCGTTTCCTCCCGTTACGCATCTGGTTGACAGGTATCGTTATGCGTATGTTGCTGTCTTTCGTCTCGTTTGGTTATGATTCGTGTTTCGCTTTCGGTATCCTTACTTGATTGATATCGCTTCAGATGGGGTTTGTATGTATTGGCTGGGGAGGGAGTAGAGAGGGGTGAGGATGGAGGTGCTTTTGGATTAGCATACTTGCTTTCGTGCGTCTCTGTTTGGGTTGGACAGGGTCGCTTGATCTACTCGTTAGTGGGTGTCATTTCTATTTGAAGGAGGGTGTGGGGTGAGGGAGTGATGAGAATGAGAGGCTCTCTCTCTCTCTCTCTCTCTCTCTCTCTGTCTCTCTCTTTGGCTTATTCAATGTTCATCTTTGATGTTCATTTTCGATGTTCGTTCAATTCAACTTCGGCTTCGGCTTCGGCTTCGACCTTCGACCTTCAACCTTCAACCCCAAAACCTTCAACTGCAAGACCTAAGTTTTATCCGATAGTCGATTACACCTTCAAATCTTCTCGGTCGATCTTCAGTTCTACACTCGCAGGTCCAGCAGCACGCGTATCACTCTACGGTATGTCGACCATTTTCAAAGTTAAGCTGTTGCTGATTGAGGTTCAGTTGGCTGAACTCACCCTAGTCAGGGCACATTGGTGACTTTTGGACAATTTTATGTGGAGGAAAATTTCTTGGAAATTTCAGGGTATGTGAGATACCAATTTGCTCTATTTGTCTGACGAGGCGAGGGTTGCGAAAACCTCGACGACTATTTATGTCTCTGACTCAGATCAAAGACCTGGCGTTTAACATCCATGGCTGGACAATGCATGATGTCAATGAAGACAGCAACAAGGATATCGTCATCAATGCCCTGAATATATAGATGTATCCGTTTGACCGAGAAACGAGCGGGCTTAGTCCGTCGTGTATTTACAGGTCGTCGTCCTCCTTCACCGAAGCCGAGCTCTCTCCACCTATGAAGGGTATCAATCGGGTTCTCCCAATTGGATACATGCTGCGCTCAACGCAGGAAATGCACCTCTATCAGAACAAGCACTATTGGTACAGACTAGAGAGGAAATCCTCTGTCACCTCTCGACCTGATAACGTTATCGCCTGGGACGGAACCGCTCCACCCATTCCAGTCGTTACCCCACTGTGAGATGAAGGTTTGGACTATAAACCTCGATTCTTCGCTCTGCTGGCACCCAGCAATGGGCTTTGTACGCCGTACTTTATCAAGAATAGAGGCATGGTGTTCTTTCGCTCCAAATACAGAAGCTACCGGGGTAGCGCTCAGAGACGTGAAATCAGTTGGGGAAACAATGTGCGAATTGCTATGAAAAAGATTACAGGCAGTCCTCAGGATGGTTATAAGAAGGATTTCAAGCAAGAGGACGGAGATGAAGAAGACCGGGATGGAGAGGATGAAGAGGACGGGGATGAAAAGGACGAGGATGAAGAGGACGAGGAGCAAGAGTACGGAGAAGATGATGACGAAGAGTCAGACAACGACGAAGATGTTGCCTACAGTGAAACTGAAGAGGAAGAATCTCCCCAGGCGAAAACGACAGCTCGAGCTGCTGCAGGATCCTCGAGAGCCTCAAAGTACGATGAAATTCTCAAGCAGCTTGAAGAACTCTCAAAGCAAGATTCAAAGCAGAAGAGAGCAAAGCTTGCGACTGCGAAGAAAGCTTTCGATGAGAGAAAGCTTGCTTTTGAGCGGGATAAGCAAGCGTTCGAGCAAAGCACCCGAGCAAAGGAGGGGATTTTTGCGAAACGAGAGCTGGCAATCATTGCATCGGAGCAGCAGTCTAAAACACGTGAGGAGAAGGTACGGAGCCGGGAGCTGGTGGCTATGGAACGGGAACAAAAAACCAAGAGCCGTGAGGAGAAAGTGCAAGGATAGGAGCTAGATCTGCAGAAGATCCACGCTAAGGTTTGGAAATATGAAATGATGGTGAAAATTTGGGAGGAGAAAGTTAAGGAGAACGAGGAAGGGATGCGGAAGAAGGAGAGTGCGTTGGATGAGAAGTTGGCTGAGCTGGCTAACACGGTCAGTGGTCTGAGACAGGGCCTGAAAAGACCTATGGAGGACAGCACTGAACTAGATGTGAAGGTTGAAGAGGCAGCGAGACTGAATCTCTTTGCGATGCTGAGGAGTGGGATCTGGCGCGATGATTTTTCTGATTACACTCTCAAAAATACTTACGGAGGTGGGGCCTCAGCGTGTTTACAAACGCGTACATTACAAATATCTATCATTGCCTACCTACAGACTGCAAAGCATTTAACTTACCCCTTTCCCTTGATCGATTTCCACCTTAGGGCTATGGAAACTGGTACCTGGATGTTGTTGATCTCGAGGAGCACTGCCCACAGTACCGGTAGTAGGTAGTGAGTAGTAGGTGCTCGGAAATCGCCTCGAAAACACTCTTTCAGTCTTGCTCTTCTATCCCTTTCTGGGGTGATTGTTCCTTTGCACTTTCGAACATTCTGCTCACCCCGTATCATTCATTACCCACCTTCCTAGGTAATCTGTTAAGCTCGGCAAAATATTATGACTATAAGCCTACGAGAAGATCGCCTTATTGAACCAAAACTTGTAGTTGAAAATTTACTAACCATTTGAATCTTTTGCGGTCAACTTCGATCGATGCATGATTGACTTGCGCTATTAGAAAATCTATTGTGGTCAAAGTGTGATTTAAGAGCCGCGCCGGAACACATGGATCCGGCGTTGACAGTAATAGCAAAAATTGATATCAATATGCAAAGTGATTTCTCCCCTCCGTCGCCCTAGTATGGATGGATCATCCAAGCGAAGGATATATTGACGTTCGCCACCCAAATTAGCGAGTCCCTTTACTAGTGACATTCTAATCAGTGATCCATCCACCCCAGACGTCGGCAGATATATGCCGGAGTCTGCATTGACCTCATGATTGCGTGTTGAAGTCCGAAGATGGGGAATTCTCGCTCTCTCAGCAACAACAATAACAACAACATCAATATCATGGCTGTCCAAGAAGAAGATCCCGAGTCGCTAGCCCGTCGCAATGAGCCGCCGACTGAGCAGACGGCGTTGCTTAGTGACCACCGATCGGTCGCGAGTGAAGATGAGCCGGAGCCCGGGAGCGGCCATCGCCACGCGAGCTGGTGGTTGTGGCGAGGATTTTGGCTCGTTCTTGGGGCTCTGATTCTGGCGGTGTTTGTCAAGGGATGGGTTGACGCTGGAGGAGATGTGAAGGTATGTTCGAATCCGTGAGATGCTTCACCGGTACTGATGAATAATATCTAGTTTGACTTCAAGGGGGCGCTCAAGCGAGCCCTCGGAGGGGGGTTGAGTGGTGCCGCGGCGATGGTCTTGCAGGTGTTACTTTTGATGGTATATGATTCCCACCTTGCATCAGGAGAGTAGTCGTACTGATACTTTCCAGCCTCTACGGACGATCATGAACTATCAGTATCGATTCGGGACCTCGTTCACTGCTGCCACAAGAACCCTTCGCCAAGATGGGGGTTTTCCTCGCTACTACCAGGGCATGAGCGCTGCACTTGTGCAAGGTCAGTAACAACCTTCCAACCATCGCTCAAGTTTATTTTCTTCGGATACGGTAAATCTAAAAATTTTCAGGGCCCGTCTCTCGCTTTGGTGATACAGCCGCTAATGCGGGGATTTTGGCGCTGCTGGCCTCCAACTCCTACCTAAAGGATATGCCTTCTCCAATCAAGACCATTTTTGTCTCACTTTGGTATAACAGCATCATATCATTCAGTATTCAGTATCTGAGCTAATTCGCTCAAGCGCCGCGTCGTTCCGCATGATCCTCACCCCCGTCGACACGCTCAAGACGACGCTTCAGGTCCAGGGCGCCCGCGGCACAACTCTTCTTCGTCAACGAATCAAGACGAGTGGAGTGGGAAGTCTCTGGTGGGGAGCGTTCGCCACTGCTGCCGCTACCTTTGTTGGGAATTACCCGTGGTTCGCAACGGTACGTTCAACTCCCCCAACCTAGAGCATCGCCTTAGTCGCACCTCTGCTCACAGAATCAATATAGTACAACACCCTCATGGACGTGATCCCTGCGCCATCGAAGGACTCCCTTTTTGTTTGGCTTCTCCGCCTCGCTTTCATCGGTTTCGTCGCCTCTGTAGTCTCAGATTCAGTGTCGAATTCCTTGAGAGTCGTGAAGACATATCGCCAGGTCAACGACACTCAGGTATCGTATGGTAAGTTTATCTCCACCCTAGCTGAACTCGAACCGTCGATTTTAGAGAAGGTTGCTGATAATCTACAGCTGAGGCAGCAAGGCTCGTTATCCGTCAAGACGGGATTGCAGGGCTGTTTGGAAGAGGCCTTAAGACGAGGATATTGTGCAACGGCCTCCAGGGACTGCTATTCTCGATTCTGTGGAAGCTCTTTTTGGACCTGTAAGACCCCCCTCGACAAAACCTTAAAGCGATATTTTCTAAACTAACGATGATTCGCAGCTGGGAAAAGAAAACCAGCTCCTGAGATCCAACGAAAATTACAAAATCAGCATTTTACCTGTTTGAATCGCTTTAGCCAGCGTTTAGAGTATTTAACACGGAATGGATATCATGCAACTGCATTGTAACTTGACGAGATCGATTAATTTATTGGGGTGGTCGTTTATTTTCATTGCCTATCATGGCCTCTCCTCATAATTTGTATCGGACTACAATATAGATATACCGGCAATGTACAAGGTGTGGTGTTAAAACCTCGAATATAGAAAAAGAATGTATTCTCCGTCATTTTTATTCTGGTTCTCATTCAAATACACCACTTCCCGTTCGCAGCCAAGCAGATTAGGATGCACCCATGGGCCTTTCCTCTAGGAGTCTATAAACTATCTCGCGGTTGAAAAAATTTCCCGTCTTCGTAACCACTTCCTGTAAAATTCTTTCTTCCTCACGAGAAGTGCGATTGATATCGATTTATAGATAGATAGATAGATAGATAGATCGATAGTGTGGAGGGGAAGAGCTCCGACATATACCTAACGTCAAATCAAGAGATATATACGTATATGATCATGGTAGAATCGTAGGTGAATAAGGGGGGAGGAGAAGGACGTTCGAGGACACTCGATTGTGTTCTGTATGTATGTGTATTGTATTGTGTGGTGATGTGGTGCTGGTTCAGGGAGGAACCAACTACTCGTCTATATAGGAGTATGCACGTGACCTAGCAACGTGCCTGGCAGGGCCAGAGCATGCGGCACACCCACGTAACAAAGGTGCCTAGCATCAGTATTATATACATGGACAAAACAAATACAGACCCCCAACTCCACCACAATAGATAGATAGATAGATAGATAGATAGATAGATAGATAGATAGCAGTCAACTGCCAACAGCTCAAGATTCGACATCCTCATGCCACTTGGACCCCAAAAGCAGCAAGCATATAACGCATCTCAGTACGGTTTGGTTTTGAAGATGCCGACACGGAGACCCAGAGCAAGGTACGGCTACGTTCATATTTCGCTTCGGGATCACTAAGTAAGATCACTAAGTATCAGGGAATTGTCTATTCATGTTGCCGGTTGGCGGCTCATTATTGAGTATACGGGTGCCAGTTATGCTGTGTTACTGAAGGGGTTAATGTAGATGGTTGGTTGAGCAATGATGAATGATTTGCCGCCTCGGGGCGATGGGTGAAGCTGTGACGCGAATTTTTTTAACAACACCTCGGTTGATGTTCTAGCTTTTGCTACCGCGTTTATCGTTTGGAAGTATGAGAATTTTTCCTCCTTGGTTTTTTTTTTTCTTTTTTTCTTTTTCTTCTTCTTGTTTTTCTTCTGCTTGTTGATTTTTCTCCTTTGTTTTTCTCTTTTGCAGGCAGATCAAGTTCTTGACGACTTTCCGAGGGAAGAGGATGAAATGCTGCGGCAGATTTCGCTGATTGCGTGTAGATTGCTTGGTTGCTGCTTGTAAATGTCAGGTTAGACGTATGGAAATTAGGAGGGGGGCGCCAGCCGCAAAAGAAAAAAAAAATTACACAAGGCGGAGTTGATGGCGCATACAAGAATAGCATGGTAGAGCCTTACGATTCCCCACGCGGGGGCACTAGAATGACTATGAGCTGGAGAAAAAGAAGCCGACCGAGTCGTTGCGGGGAGATTCTACGTAGATCCACGGGCGGAGCGGAGTAATCCAGTATGGGGGTCTTGGACTGGTTATATCGCCGATTAATACAGTATTCTTTTTAAGTGTAAAATTAGTGCGGCAAATTATTTCACGGCAATAGTTGCTTGTCGAAGGCCCCCTGAAGCTATTTGCTGGGTACTCTCCCATCTCCTTCCTCGGAATCGAGACCTTTGCTCGCGATTATTCGGTTCTGATTGGGTAAACGTACGGTTGCTGAAGAATCTCGGGGGAAATCCACAGCGACATGGTTTGTTGATTTAAGTGGAGGCATAAGCGAGCAGGGAGCGTCTCGCTAAGCAATAATAGAGGGCAGTCACTGGCTGCCCGTACGAGTACGCCCTGTTAACGAGGCTTGGGACGGAAGCTTGCATGTATATATCAGTGGAAAGATTGCTGATTGGGGGCTGGCCTCACCTCATCATATCAACCGCCAGCCGCATTGCCACCGAGTGCTCCACGTTGCACGATCTAGCATCAGTCCGGTCCCAGGAAGGGTTACCAGAATGGGGCGCAGCTTGTCAGCCTGTGGACGGTTGCCTCCCGCTGAAGACTGGACCCGCTACCTCTCCTGTCTTGCCATCTCTCATATATAGGTTTTTCCTTCTTCCGTTCGTCGCTACTTCTTTGTTCCCGCCATGAGGGCCCTACTATCGTTTTGTCTTGCATTGGCATCCTGCCATTCGGCTCTGTCTCTCTGTCTTGAGTCTGCAGAATCATGTGCGGAGCCACTTCTGGTGGCAGAAGATGTGCCTCTCGTCGCTAGAAGGGAGCTCCTGGGTGAGACAGTGATTAAGGCTAGGCAACAACCAGGTGTCGTCGCAGCAAACATCTTCCTGCGAAGAGGATACCATGGATGTATGGATAACCCCCTCCCTTTTTCTCTAATTGAACCTGTGACTAACAGCGTATTGTAGCGGTTGTGGTTGGGAACTATGTGTACATTGATGGAGGCGCATTTTCGTACACAAGCGGCGGATCACCCCAAATATTATATGCGACAACAACATTATCGATTGATATTTCAATGTCATGGGTCAACTCATCCGTCGTCATCAACTCATACTCGAAGCCCAGTGGAGTACCGTGCTTGGACGACGGGTCTCTTTGGTATAGCGAGAAGGAAAATTCTCTGATTCTTGGATTTTCAGGCGCAGCGGCACGTTTCAATACGCCAGCCCCATGGCCCCTAGGACTATGGTCATTCAAACTAGACAGCCAAGGTGGAGGAATATGGAGTCGGAAGACGGCAGCCACATCAGCGATAACCAGCAAATCTTTGACTCGGCCATATCAAGCACTTTCCGCTTTCGGGGGAGACAGTGCATTCACGCTGGGAGGATACGAGAATAGCAGGTCGAGCCCGGCGACCAAGAACTTGACTGATTCGAGACCAGTTCCCGGGATCGTTCAGTACAATATGGCTACGGGTACTTTCACGAACTCGAGCGCGTCTGGCTACAATTTTAACGGTACTGCGGAGCGAGGGGTCCTTCACTATGTTCCATCCTTCGGACCTCAGGGAATCTACGTTATCTTAGGAGGTGATGTCTCAGATCTGGATAAATACTCGGCCGGGCAGAAACTCCAATCCTTCCAAACTCTGACTATCTTTGATCCGGCAACGGGCACTTTCTATAACCAGACAACAACTGGAAACACCCCGAACGGCCGCATAGAGTTCTGTGCTACGGGGGCCAACTCGACAAACGATACATACGAAATGTGAGTCGGCAAGCCTACAGTATAAGACTAACTGCTGATACGTGATCTTGTAGATTCATCTACGCGGGATGGGGAGGTCATCTTGGGTCCGCCGCCTTACCATATGATGAAATCTACATCCTCACACTGCCAGCATTCCAGTGGATCAAGGTGCCTTATCCCCCAGCAAAGCCTAGGCACGGCCACACCTGCGAGACCGTGGGGAACAGGCAGATGCTGGTCATCGGGGGGGTGGATACTCTGCAAGACACGGCAACGAACGCTGCACCGTCGTTGGACCTGGTGACTTTCTCCACCCGAGATCAGTTCGCTCAAGGGCTCGCCATTTTCGACATGACGAGACTTTCCTGGGCGAATCAGTACGACGCAGGTGCTCCCGCCTACGAGCAGTCTGATCCGGTGAGAAACTACTATGCTTCGAAGTAAGATTTTCACCCCTGGACACAACTCGATGACCTCAAATTTAACGGAAGAACAGCGCCAGAGACCCTGCTACCTGGGCTACGTCCGGCTCAAAAAGCCTCAAGGACGTATTTGCCGTCACCCACTTCACTAATCGTAAGTCTTTTCCACCTCCAAGAGGGACTCACGAGTGTAGACTGACCATCTTCAGCGCCAACCACCCCAACGCCTTCATCCTCAGCCACCAACGCCCCTACGTCGTCGCCCAAGAGTTCCCACACGGGCGCGGTAGTAGGCGGCGTGGTAGGCGGGGTCCTAGGCCTTGCTGCTATCGCCGGCCTCATCTTCTTCCTCACGCGGCGACGCAAGCGCGCAGCCGCCGCGTCCGAGCTCCCATCCAACGCTGCAGGAGGCGGTGCTCACACGGAAGACGACGGTCAGGTGCATTACCAGGGCGAAGACCGCGGTGACTTCAAGCCTTACGCACCCGTCATGTCGGAAGTCCCAGGCAGTGTTGTGGCTGGGAGGGAGGGCTATGCCCAGGAGATGAACACGCCACCGGCGCGTTATGAGATGGATGCGAGACAGACACATGAGATGGCTTAGAGAGGGCCTTGAGGGCAGGGAGGGAGAAGAACAAAAAGGATTTGCTGACTCGTTCTGTTGCATTGTTTCATACCCCCTTTCGGTTATGTTTTGTTTTGTATCTGGGGTTGGCGCTATAGCGGTGACATGTAGCGGGCGTTTTGGAAGCTGGGAAAGTAGTAGATGTACATAGTGTGGGATCTTAGCGTGTGGAGAGGAGCTCTGTCTCTCTGAAGTGGAAAGTTGATATCAAGACCACACTCAGCAATCCTCTAGTCTGAGTATGACGATTCGCTAGTTTTCGTTATTTTTAGAGATGATTGTGGTTCGTCTGAGCTAGATTTGCCATTGCGAATTAGCTCGAGGGGTTTGTGTTGTCTAGGTGTATCCGCTACTATCGAAGTCATCGCTGCCGATGTAATATAATATATAAAGGGATCTTCTATTGGGGAGGAGGAGATGCGGTAGTGGTATACAGATGAATGGGATCCGTCGTTCTCGTTACTGTCCGATTTTAAGGCCTCGCAATAAAGCCACTAGTCCCCGAGCCTTCCTCCAACCTTGAACTTACTGTAGATATTACGAGCCGTCGACTAAGCAGCGGTAAGGCTTAGCAGCGACGTTATTCACATCGAACTAGGTTTCCCGCTTCATTAGCCGACGCACTAGTAGCCTCAAGAAGTCCCAACGAGCCTTTTACACAACTACATTTCAATATACAACTACTCGTGCGGCCAGCATATTTGTCCCCCCATCGAAATCCATCCCAAAGATAAAGTCGTCAATTTAGAAAGATTGACGCACAAGGACAGACATGCAGGCCGGACGAGTATGTATGTCTGGAACCTCAGCTAGGATCCAAACCGTTAACCCTCTCATCTACGGAGCAAGCATAACATGGACAACTCATTCTGTAGACGTAGTAATCGTCGATTATCGCCTTGAGGTTGTTGTGTTTCCGAACTTTACCTCACTCACCTTACGTAGCTCTACTTAAGCCCGATCAAGGTTTATCTACATTGCGCAGAACGTGGACCGTGCGTGTCTAATTATGATAAAAAGTGCTAAAAACTCAATATGATTATTATCAATCCAGATAATATTATCTATACAGCTTGGCAAAGCCGGACTGAATGAACCACTATGTTTCATCGCTTGCATTATTGGCTACCAGTTTGCTCTTGGCACCTAGAATGCTCGAAGGACAGCGGGCTGCATCGCGCTGAAGGGGATTATGGCTAAAAGCAGCTTACGTAATATCAAAGCGAGCTTGGGAGTGCACCTACCAAGGTATATTCGCGCAATTGAGAGTTTACAGAATTTAAAGAGGCGTATCTGTTTGAATGATTTGAAGTTCGAAATAATAGTATATTTCGAATCTTCAATTGTCAGTACCGGTACTTTAATCACGTTGTTTGCTATTTTAGGATTCTGCTTCCCGTCATTACGCGCACTTTTTAACTGACCAATCAATTCTATTCGCTAAAAAAAGTTATTTGCAATTTTTTATAATGCCACATTCCCTTTTACTCCGGTGATACAAAGCTTCGCAAGCTCGCTTTAATTACGCCTCGAAAGTGCCTCGAGAGTTTAATTTCCACCTTAAACCCTTGAGTTTTCTTCCTTTCGAGGGGCAATTGACTTGAAATTGACACGAGGCTTCCAATCGCGTTCCCATTCAATAGTCTTGTCCGAATATTTCCTTAGCTTTTTTTCTGTTTCAAAGCATTTGGCCCAGAAATCCAAATCACCGCTAGTTGCCATTTGCTTTGGAATAGTCATCTGTCGTTGCTGATCGACGACGCCATCAACCCAAGAAAATCGCAGCGTGATCTCGGGCTCATATATACCTCTATTTCTTATTATATAGTTCGCAATAACTGATTCCTCTGCGCCATACAATCTCGTTGTCTGAAATTGACGAGGCGCAATAAGTATTTCATAAGTTTTCGGAATCATCGCTTTGCGAGCTTTTTTCATCTTTTTCGTATTCGCTTTAACAACACAATACCATTTTCCTTCTTGACTTTCCCAGCTAGGTTTGTCTCCTAGTTTAAATTATTAGCTCTGCGTATTAAATAGCGGTTTATATAAATTAACTTACGAAGGTAAAAGCCAGGTCCTACTTGAAAGTTTGTACCATCTTGCACAATTAAATCGTGGTATTTATTGATTAGATTAGCGTGCTCCTATAATTCGCGTAATTAGTATATAGGCTTATTTTATATAAATAGTTTTATATAAATATAATCGAGTTTAAAGCTTACTTCAGAAACCATTGCATAACCGATGACTTGCTTTCTACTCCATCTCCACCAAAATCCATGAGCTCCATTAAAGAGGCTCAAGACTAGCAAAAGTGCGAAGGTAGATTGCAATCGTAGCATCGTGTTAGTATAAAGTCTTTTATTGATGCGAGCTGATGAGAAGAAATAATGCTTAAGCTTGTAGTGCTTGCAATAGAAGATGATAATGATTTAAGTATCGTCTTCTTATTCTTATATGGAAAATATTATCTTTAATATAAAATCAAATTTAAACTTAGTCAATTATTTATAGTATTGCAATATTCCACGGTACAGCCCTAAGTACTACGTATTACCCCTCGAGGGTGCCTTAAAAGTTTAGTTTTTTCTTTAAACCCCCTGGTTTCCCTACCCTCAGGGGTAATACTTACGCTTGCGACGTAATTCTTTTTCGATCTAAAAAGATCGAGGTTACTTTAAAAATAATTTATCGAAGAGAAGGATGAGAACTCGGCCAGTTTATTTATAATATTGCAATATTCCTTTTCGATTTTAAAAAGACCGACGTTACCTTAAAGGGGAAGGCAGGAGCATTTAGACGGTCAGCTGATCGTCCGATAACCATCCCTTTTAGGGACGATTTTAATAAGTTGGCATGGCTGGTAGATCACCTTAGGCTTATACTTAAGATTGAATAGAATTTGAAAACAAACGATTTAAATTATTTAAATCGTAGCTAAAATAAAACGATTTTATTCGATTAAATGGTTTTTTTTTTAAATACTCGTCTTTTCGTATAAAAACCGTCTTAGGACCGTCTTCGAGCGTTCTAAGACCGTCCTATGGCCGTCCCATGGCCGTCCCTGAGCTTAAACCGTCCTTGAGAACGTGAATTAGTAATCAGATAATCTTTTTATTGCTTGCTAGAATGCTCTTTACTACCTCATCCACCTAGTACACCCCTCCCCCCTTCCCCCTCACCTTTTGCTACACCCCCTACTTACCCAGGCTGAAAGATTGGCCATCGTACGCGGATGAACTTTTGCTAAATCAATCGATTTCGATTGTAAAAAAATTAAAGCGTTGATATACAAGCCGTAGCAGCGATACCGAGAAATATCTTAGCGTCGAACTTCTTAAATTATTATTAAAACAATTTTATTTAAAAGATAATTTTTATGTATAACTATATCTTCTTTAAAATGGTCATCGAACTATTTCAATTTTTTAAAACGAGCTTATTAATTAGCCTATTTTAAAAATATAGACGGGGACGGCTATGGGACGGCCACAGAACGGTCTCTTTCAATGGGACGGCCTTTTCGATAAACTATTCTTGAAAAGAGCTTAGTACTGAATTTAAGCGGTCTAATGGCCGTCTCTTATAAAAGAGGATCAGAGGACCATTTAAATGACCCCCTACCACCCTTGAAGGTATTTTAAAAATAATTTATTAGAGAGAAGGATAAAAACTCGGCCAGTTTATTTATAGTATTGCAATATTCCTTTTTTCGATTTAAAAATATCGACGTCACTTTTAACAAATAATTTATCGGAGAGAAGGATGTGAACCGGCTAGCTAGGTAGTATCTAGGTAGTACACATACGTAGTACATACGGCGGAAAGTTTTCCGATCTGCTTTAGAAACTAGCTTAATCGAGCAATACCTTTACGGTCCCAGGGTTTGTATCGCCGCACGCGATACGCGTTCCAATCTTTCTTTTCGTATACCTTACTACGTACGATAAATTTTCATAAGTATGCTTGCTGTAATCGGCGCTGATGAGAAATTTATAAGACTTTTTTTTTTTAAAAAAAAAAAAAACGATCCTTTCTTATGACGGTCTTACTGTAGCATTGAAGGTTTTAAGGGTTCAAGTTAGTTGGTTGTATGGGCACTAGCTAGCTGAGGTTACGTGGACATCCCGCTCCCGCAGGTGCATATACCGTACCGGTACCTCGGCACTGTACTGTGCTGTACCTAGGTAGTTCTTCCTCTCCTCATCTTTCTTTCACAATACTAGCGTAACGATTGGTAAGTACTCAATACTACCTTTCCCTAGCCGTAGCATCTTCTATAGAGTATACATTGTATGATCGGGTTCAGCGATACGAAGCAGGGGACCGTAAAGGTATTGCTTGATTGAACTAGTTTCCAAAGCAAGTCGGAAAATTTCACCGCTGTACCTCCGTAACGGACGCATGCTTTTCGGACGCTAATATGCAAGAATTAAAGGAAGAGGGGGAGGAGGCTAAAAGGAAGAGGGATGCCAGGGACCGAGAGATAAATCAAGATATTGGCTTGTTGATATTAGCTTTCGAATAAGAGTTTAAGACGGTCGCAAAGGTCGAGGACGGTCCGGGGACGGTCTTAAGAGGGCCTTCGCACGCTCTCTTAGTAAACAGACCGACTTTTATAAACGACGATCCGATCGATTAAAACGAATTTATTTTAATATCCATCTTTTTATAAAAAGACAGACTCTTATAAACGATCCTCCAATCGATCAAATCGATTCTATTTCATCTACGGTTTAGATCACTTGAGCCGTTATTTTCATCAAACACAAATCCTATTTCAGGTCTTGACGACGAATAACCTCTTCACCGTCTGAAAAGTCAAGGACCGTTTTTACAAGTGACGGTCTTACCGTCTGTAGACATTCCCAAGAACTTTCTAATCGTCGGTTTCGCCTCCTCTTTACGTAGGCTCCACGCTATGAACCATCTCCTATGGTGGTTTACAAAACCAATAACAGCAACAACAACAACAACATGCAATTCCCAACCCCCCTCCCCTTCCTCGCCCTCTTCGCAGCCCTCATCAGCAGCTGCTCCGCCGTCGCCTTCCCATAAGAAGAAGAGTTCGACCCTAACCGCGGCATCGTCGACGGCGAATGCCGCTACGACAACCACAGTGGCCAGGGGGCGGAGGGGATAGGAATGGTTGAGAAGGATGATAAAAGGTGATGATGAGGAGGAATTAAAAGAGAAGGAAAAGAAAAAGAGTATCATTACCGTTGCTACGTATCATCGCATTCCTCAACGTGTCGAACGGAGATAGCAGGCCGCCTTAGGACTTCTCTCCCTCCCTCCCCCTCTCTCTCTCTTCTAGTACATAAAGTACAGCGACGCCCTCAGCCGACGCGTTATTTTTTGTATAGAAGACTGACAGACAGACAGCTTTAGAGAGCGATTTTTTCCAATATATATATATATACATATATTTATGTATACACATATATATAAATCAAATAAATAAAACAATAATAATAATAATAACAATCACCCACAGCGAGAAACCCCACGACCGATCCACCGATCGTCCCCTTCCCTTCTCCCCTTCCTTTACAAATCTGTGAGATGGGTGGCACTGGGTAATTTTGTGTGTGTGTGTGTGTGTGAGAGAGAGAGAGAGAGCTTCTCGCCAAGAGAGAGAAAAACTAGATAATAGATGAGGAGCGATTGAGATGGGAGGAAAAGGAAGAGAGAGAGAGAGAGGAAGAGAGAGGAAGAGAGAAAGAGAGAGTCTTCTCCAGAGAGAGGGGCAGAAAATAAACAAACGGAAATGTCATAAATAATAAGATACGCAAAGGAGGAAAACTAGGTTCGGTATTTCTCTCCTGAAGAATTTGTTATTGCTACGTACGCTAAGAGAAAGCTAGAGAGAGAAAGAGAGAGAGAGAGAGAAAGAGAGAGAGAGAGCCACGAAAATGATCACGACCAAAGCCACAACCCACTTTGCAGATCTGAAAATATGCTACGACGATAGGGATATGCCCGTGAGATTCTAGATGGGAAGCCGGAGGAACGTGAAATGAGGGTGGCGGATTTATTCATTCTTTCATTCAGCGAATTCCCTCAGTTACCGAGCATCAGCAAGAATCGCTTGAAGTGATCCTGCCTGTGCCCAGCAAAGAAAAGAAAACAAAAAAGAAAAAGGAAAGAAGAAAAATAGATCAGCGCTCCCTCATTCTCTCTCTCAGCGCAAGCGGCTAGGAGCTAGGCTTTCAGCCCCACGCGCAGGACTGGCTTGCAGTACCCGAGAAAAACAACTCATGACTTCCCCTTTTCAACAGCCGTCTTGACCTTAAATTCCTCCTTCGGCGGCCTCGCCCCAAAAATCGTACTGCCCACCCTAACCTCATCACTGCCACCTTCAATCGCCCCCTCGAAATCATCACTCATCCCCATGCTCAGCTCCAGCGTCCCGTTCCACGCCCCCTCCTCCAGCTCCCTCTGAAGTCTGTCACGCTCCTCCCGCAGTGTGACGAAATCCGCATTCTCCTCTCCTTCTTTCACAGCCTTGCTTCGGGCAATGGCGCCAATGGTCATGAGGCCCAGGAGGCGGAGGTTTGGACAGGTGGTTAGTATCTGCTTCGCGAGAGCTGAGGTGTCGGGACCCGGGGCGCACCCAGATTTGGAGGCTTCGCCAGAGGTGTTGACTTGGATGTGGATATTTAGTGGCTCGGAGGCAGCGGGGGAGAGGGAGGCGCGGCCGGCCTCCAGTTGTGTTGCCTTTTTGAGAGAGTCGACTGAGGAGACGATATGCAGGTTTGGTACGCTAGAGGCCAGGAGACGGCATTTATCTGTGAGAAGGGATGGAGTTTAGCGATTTGTGGGCTCTGGACTCGGGAGAATGGATTCTGGATTTGGGATAAGAAGAGGAGGGTTCAGAGAAGTCTGTGGAGAACAAATAGCACGTGTGGAGAAATGGAATGGATAGTGAGAACTTCAGGACTGGTACAAGCAATGCTTCTTAGACAAGAGAAAGTGCTGACCAAATGTGCTCCATCACTTGACGCGTTTCTACTCTGGATTTCCCGGCTTCTCATCTTTGACGTCTCTTGGGCTTTTGAGCAAAGTCCCAATAGGTCTTAATGATGAAGAGGGTAGAATAATCGCACACAAGACATTTATCTTCTCCTCATGCTTCAATCACTCGGATTTGAGGAAAAGGCGAAGGCTTAATAGCAATACCAAGGAATGGAGTGGCCACCTTGAAATCCCGAGCAGAAACGAGTAACCAGCGTGGCATCCGATCGCTCAGAAGTACATCCATCCTTCCCGGTTCGCCGTACATAGTGAGACAATATGCATTTAAACGGCAATGCATGTATGCGGGTAAAGCAAAATAACAACGATTTTGCTTTGCGAGCATCAACCAAACTCGTGCCATGTACCTCCCGGACCTAGCGTGCACCCACGACAATGATTGAGATTCCTCCTACCAATGTCTTCAACGGGCAATTCGTATCTCCACAGAATCAAAAGATCCAGCGGTGACCTAGGAGGACATGCATAAGATAATAGGTAATAATAGGTACCAAGAGCCCACTCACATCTCCAACGCCTTAACTCCGAAACCAACAGACAAAGCTTCGCCGATGCAATATCGCTGTTAAGAGCTCCTCGACAGCCAGCCTGAGACTCTGGATTTAAGTCCGAGATTTCCAGACGTGCAACAAAAATGTGTGCTTTTTCCTTAAGGGGCAAGGGGCAAGGGGTTACAATCAAGCAACGCCGTGAATGAGGAGGAGGAACTAACTCAAAGGCCGGTTCCACGTGATATAAGGAAGGTCTCAAGTCTCAACATCAAATGATAAGGCGCAAGCAACATCATGCAACGCATAACATACGGAAGAGCAAAGACATCAATACAAGACCGCATCGTCGCCTTTTAAGAGTGCGCCAAAGAAGAGAGAGGGTCGGGAAAGCCACACGTACTGGACTGGAGTCCCCCTATAAAATGCCACTTCACATCCCGCGGTAGAACCTCCGCCTTCTCAATCAGCTCTTGGGCGTAGTTCTCGCCGAAATGCCTCTGGCCGGCATCCTGATACAAGGCCAGGATATCAGACGCCGGCTTCAACTTGGACACGGCTACGAGCCTCACCTAATGGCTCCCTTTCGGTTAGCTCGAGCGTCAAAGAATCGTGATATGATGTGATATGATGTCAGGTGACGCGTCGTGATCTGAAGTAGACGTTTGTCTTACGCACATCTCGTCCCGCAGCAGCCCTTGCTACCCGGCTCTGCACGGTCCGCAGCGCCTGGACGAGGTCTTTGGCGCGGGCGGCGTCGAATTTCATGTCGATGGTCTGCTGGGTGGTCATTGCTGTTGCATTTCGATTGTTGTTGATGTTGGTGCTGCTGTTCTTGTTGTTGCTGTTGATGTTGTTGTTGTTGTTGTTGTTGTTGTTGTTGTTGTTGTAGTCGTCGTCGTCGAAATGATAAAGTGGGTTTTCATGTCCCTATCCGTAGGTTCGGGGCTCGAGAGTCTTGCATAGGGGATGACATAATGTCGAAGCAGTGCTTTAAAACTATGGTTCACCGCCCAGCTATTTCTGGTTTCTGCCCCTCGCAGAAAGCGGTGAGTTATGATTCCGATAGCAAAAGCTTGATAGGTCTACCGGTACTTAGTGCTATACTCTCCGTTCCGTTTTCCGGCATTGTCGCCGCTTGTATTATCTACTTTTACACATGAAGATAAATGTATCTACTATTACATAGGGAGATGCTATTAGTTTGATGCCTCTGACTGAGTCTAGGTAACTGAACCTGACTATCTAAGTCTGACTGGCTAAGTATAGATTATAGGACTTGAAACTGAGCCGTCTGCACACCTGCACATCTGCACACCTGCACACCTGCACACCGGCACGTCGCAACGTTTCAAGTCGTGGCCAGGCAGGGCCCCCCTCCCCCTGCATGCCCAGCCAAGGGGCCGAGGATCTGGATTTTGAATCCATCTGATGAACCGCAGCTTCTGATTGGCGCACAGACGGCCTCTGTGCCCCCGTCGGTCATTAGTTCATCCGGTCTCCGTTCGTTAGAATAAATATTATTGCTGCACCGTTCTCATATCCACGATCATCCTGACAATCACTCCCTCCTTCATTCCATCTCTGCGTGCGTGCTTGATTTTGCGCTGACCTTCGATTCCTTCTCGATACCTTCTTTACACTTGCTTCTCTGGCGCTGGCAACGCGAGCGTCGAGGGGAAGAATATGCAAACATAAATACAAACACAAACCAGACGACATAAGCATACCATACGGAGATACATACCCTATACCTCCCCACCCTCGAAACGCCCTCGACCCACAAAACGGACTCAGTCACTAGACAGACGCTGGTGCGCATCTACGTTCTCTGAAGACGACGACGACGACGACGACGACGACCCTCGTTCTGACGAAGACCACCCTTCCTAGCGATACAACAACAACCTCCAGTCCTCGGCAGACCAGACGAACCTAATGCATACATAACACATACATACATACATAAAAACATACAAACAAACGCTTCGTAATCTTCATGCCCCTTCGCAGTCCACGATCCCCCATCAGTCTTTTCAATCGCCAAGGCTTTCAACCACTCGCGTCAACGAATCATCCCTCCTCCTCCTCCAACATGGGCTCCTTCGACCCCGAAGGCGCCATCCCACTCACCCAGGTGCAGTCACGCATCTCGACGAGAGGAGCCAGGAAACAAGGCGAAGGCGTCCTCAACGACAGAGATATGAGCAGTCAGCCTAAATTCCTGGCCGAGGCGGACGACGAGGAGGAGAAGTTTACTTTCCACCACGGCCGGAGGAAAGTCAGGAAAGAGCACGGCGGGCCTGTCCGACGGGGCTCCGATGGCGAGGAGATTGCCGTCACCGGGCTGGGAAAGGTCTACAACAAGATCACCGGCTTCTCGGTGCTCATCCGGTACATAATGTACGTGGTGCCCCTCGGCTCCGTCCTCGCGGCCCCCGTGGCCATCTACGCCGTGCTCAACCCGAACGCACGCTTCCTCAACACGGGTATCAAGGTCTACCTCTTCTGGCTGTGGATCTTGATTGTCTGGCTCTCCATGTGGGTCTCGAAACTCTGTTCCAAAGCCATCCCGTTCATCTTCATGTTCGTGTGCGGTGTGGTCTCGTCCGGGACCAAGAAGTACGCGACAATTCTCCGCGCCGTCGAGATCCCGCTAAGCCTGGTGGGATGGACCAGTTCGAACTTTCTTAGCTTCAGGGTCTTGACCACCCCGGCCTTAAACCCGAGTGCGGATCCCCCGAAAGGCTGGATCAGTACTACCTTGAAGGTGCTGGCGCCCATGTGTATCGGCAGTCTTCTGTTCTTGGTTGAGAAGATGATGATCCAGCTTGTGAGTATCAATTACCACAAGCGGTCGTTCGATGGGAAGATCAAGGACTCGAAGAGGAATATTCATCTGCTGGGCCTGCTGTATGATGCCAGTCGACAGCTCTTCCCCGTGTACTGCCCAGAGTTTATCGAAGAGGATTACTTGATCAGTGATAGTCTTGAAGCTTTGCTGGCCAAGAATGTCAAACGCGATGGATCCAACACCCCGATGCGGATCATTGGGAACATTGGTCGTGCGGGTGACAAATTCACTTCCGTCTTTGGGAACATCGCTTCGGAAATCACAGGGAAGCAGGTCTTCAACCCCTTGTCTTCGCACTCGGTAATACTCCAAGCCCTGGAGAAGCAGAAATCCTCGGAGGCGTTGGCCAAGCGGTTGTGGATGTCGTTTGTGGTTGAAGGCAAGGAGAGTCTGCTTGCCGAAGATATCGAGGAAGTGCTGGGTAATCAGCGGAAGGAAGAGGCGGGCGAGATCTTCCGTGCTCTGGATAATGATGAGAACGGCGACATTAGTCTGGAGGAGATGATTATGAAGGTTGTGGAGATTGGAAGGGAGCGCAAGGCCATCACCGCCAGTATGCGAGATGTTGGGCAGGCGATTGGGGTTCTGGACTCCGTCCTCGTCACGATCTTGTCGGTCATCATCCTCTTCGTCTTCGGTAAGCCTCTCGCCTTATCCTGCCCTTGCTACTTTTTACCTACTAACATCTGCGACAGTGGCCTTTCAAAACACGTCCTTCGTCACGACCCTCGCCACGGCCGGCACCACCCTCCTATCTCTCTCCTTCGTCTTTGCAGCCACCACTCAGGAATTCCTCGGCTCCTGTATCTTTCTCTTCGTCAAGCATCCCTACGACGTCGGCGACCGTGTGGACATCGACCACGTCTTCCTCGTCGTCGAGCAAATCTCCCTCCTCTATACAGTCTTCAAGCGCATCGACACGATGAAAGTGGTCCAGGTTCCCAACATCGTCCTCAACAATCTCTGGATCGAAAACGTCACCCGCTCCAAGGCCATGAAGGAACAACTCGACATGTTCATCTCCTTCGAGACCACGCTCGAAGATATCGAGCTCCTCCGCGCCGAGATGCAAGCCTTCGTCCAAGCGCCTGAAAACGCCAGAGACTTTCAACAGGACATCGTTCTGGAGGCGACGGGCATTGGAAGTATGGATAAGTTGCAGCTGAAGGTGGAGATCAAACACAAGTCCAACTGGGCGAACGAGACGGTGCGCGCAGCCCGGCGCTCAAAGTTCATGTGCGCCCTCGTCGTCGCCCTCCGCAAAGTCCCAATCTACGGCCCTGGTGAAGGCTACGAGCCACTCGGCAGCCACAGCAACCCGGGCTACACAGTCAGCGTGCCGGATTCCTGGGCCGCCAACGCTAGAGAAGAAGCATCCAAGGCGAAGGAAGCCTTACGGATGGTACCGAAGGCCGAAGAAGCTGCTGCGGAAAGCTCGGGGGCGGCGTGGACGAGTGGCAGAGAAGAGAAAGAACCGAACTTGGGCCCGAACTCGACGAAGGAAGATCTAGAGCGCGAACAAAAGCGCACCAGCGATATCTCCGTCCTCAAACAGGGCCTCCTCAAACGGGCTTCGACGCGTGGTCGGCGCCGCCCCGGTGACCACGTTCCTGCGCCCCCGGCGTTCCTGGGCGTCAACGTCACGGCACCAAGTCCGAAGAACAGCGATTCACGAAGCGTGTCGGATGAGGAGGCCGATCTGGAGCATATCTACGGGAGCCCGATGTACCAGCGGGGTTACGGGGCGCAGAGCCAGAGCCAGAGCCAGAATCCGTATGTATCCCAGGTACAGCCAGGGACGACGAGCTACGGCGTCTTTCCACCGCTGACTCAGCGGGTGACGCTGGAGGAGCCGGGCCCGACAGTGCCGCGATCAAATCCGCAGCCGGGGAGGACGCTGAGTTTAGGGTTTAAAAACTCTCGTAGTGGGTAGGATAATGAACTGGGGAATCTTCCGGCGTACATTTGGGGATTGTAAGATTGCTTGGGTAGCTTGAACGGCAGTGGTTGGTGGGGGTGGGTTGGACGAACGGAGTGAAATCGGATGGATAGGCTTATCCGTATCTGCATGCATCTTGGGGCGTTTGGACGGCGTGATGAACGCGCTGGGTGTCTTGGGAAATCAGGTGGAGAGCTTTTTCAAAAGAAAGCGAGTTTCGGAGAGGTCACGGAAAGAAAGAATACTTGACGAATAAAGATGATTGTATACAGCAGATGTATTATTCCTAGAGAGAAGCTCATGATAGATAGGTACAATAGAAGATGAGAAGCTAGATGAGCGGTGGGAGGGTAGAGGCGTAGAGACTGTATAGTATATACCATATATGTATAGGTAGATAGATGTATAACAATACCTTTCCTGGAAGCATGTGTGGGTTTTTTTTTTTTTTTTTTTTTTTTTTTTTTTTTTTCTTTCTGTTTTAAGCTGGGAAGATGTGTAGCTAGCATTCTTGTTATTGTTGTTGTTGTTGTTGTTGTTGTTGTTGTTTTTGTAGTAGTTGTAGTAGTTGTTGCTGCCGTTAGGGGTAAGCTGGAAAGGAAAGGCAAGAAGACCATACATATTCTTGCCGTCGAGCGCCCTTCGTCTCGTCCATCGTTCTGGGCCTGGAACCTAGAGGAGAACCTATAGCCAGCTGGATCTAAAGCAGGCGGGCCGGCCGTGTGAGATGTGAGATACTGTAGGTATCTTGGTACCTGAACGAGGCGGGAACGGTCCGATAGACCAACACCATCCTTCCTCCTTCCCCCTCCTCCTCCCGCACCTCTCTCCCAGGCATCAAAAGCAGACCGACCCTGTTTAGCCGGTCGACTTGTCTGCTGTCCTCGGTCATCCGGAACTCTCTGGATGGTTTTACTATTCTAGAAGTTTGTTGATGTTGTTCTTGTTCGAGAGGTGAGAGAGATGCTTTTATTTGGGTCACTGGGTTGGGTTCTGCGCTCCTGTCGCTGCCAGCGAGCGCGTTCTGCATGCTATCGACTACGAGCTTTAGTGGGCACACAGTGGCTATGGAAGCGTTCGTGTTAAGGTACTACGTTGTGCTACGCTAGAGGTCGTACGTAGTCGATGATCTGTGTCCGTGGTCACTCTTCTGATTCCTTTTTTTTTTTTTTTTTTGTCCTTTTTTCAGATTGGGATGGGAGTAGCGTATTCTCTATACGGTACCTGTTGCTATCGAGGGTACCAACCAAGAACGCACCAGTATACGGCTGTTCTGGGAGAACGGCCAGCTCGAAGATGGCGTCCGCCTGCCCGAGCACCTGCAACTGATCGTGTCAGGCAGAATGCTTCCCGTGCCACGAGAGAGCGCTACCAATGAGGGATCTCAACCATTCGCGGCCGCCCTCTTCTAACTAACTTGCGCACGTGAGTTTCCTAGCAGGTGCGGGGCGGCGTGGAACTTGCTCCTACGTAGCACGACCGACCCGCGCAGGGGTCAGAATCACGCTGAGATCTACCGGTACCTACCTTAGCGGAGCAAGCCGAGATTCTAGAACCGTATAGCGGACCGTGTAGCAGGTCTACACGGTTGGCCACTATCCTTCAAAACAGCTCGGTTGATAGATTTTAAACCGTGTAAGTATTTAAACCGTGTAGAAGTTTTAGACCGTGTAGATATTTTTAGACCGTGTAGAAGGACTTAAGCGAGGATAATCCGGGCGGGGTCACTGGTGTGGCTGTGCGCCAAGCCACTACATCTAAGGAAGCAAGTCTGAATTTAATTGGTAAGGGCTATTTACTAACACCTCCACCTTTGCTAGACTGCCACTTCTTCTACCTCCACCCCTACCTTTGCTAAACTGCCACCTCCTTCACCTCCACTTCTGCTAGACTGCTACTTCCACCTTAGCGCTCTCTTTTAGACCCCTTATAATCTTCTAGCTTATAAAATGATGTTGGTGATATCGGACCGTAAAGTTGGAAAAAAAAGGAGCTTAAAGCGCGTCTATCACTATAAACAATTAATTAGTATGCGTAGCAAACAAAAGGAATAAAAAGAAGAGAGGGAGGGGGGGGAAAGGAGTGGCTGGTTTGCTTTATTCTTCGGCCAATCCACATTCGAGGGAATGGTCCTTGCAGGTGAGCAGACCGAAGGACGGACCGAAGAAGGGATCATTTGCTTTTTCGATACTAACACGTTAAAATAATAGATTAGTATTCGTAGCAGATAAAGGTGAAAGAAGATAAGGTGGTTAAAGGTTAAAAGGTGACGCGCCTAATAGTTGTAATAATTATAATAGTTGAAGTTTTATTAAGAACGCGAAGTTTAAATATATTACGTATTCAGCTGTGCGCGGCAGAATTGAATTAGTATATCGGAGTTAAAGGTTATTAAAGGGCGGTCTATGCGGTCGCCCTCGCTAACGGTTTCTACACGGTTTAAAATTTCTACACGATCATTGCACGGCTTAAGGCTGCTACATGGCCCGCTACACGGCCTAAGGCTGCTATACGGTTAGCTATACGGTTCTAGAATCCCGGCTTGCTCCGCTAAGGTACGCACCGCACCAAAAGCCAAGAATCAGCAATGGGGGAAAAGACTGAAAGCAGAAGTGATCTCGACAGCACTGTAGTCAAAACCCCCTTCCTGTGTCGGAGCGTATCGCACCCTGGAAGACTAGGCAGCCAGCCAGCCAGCCAGCCAGTTATTTTTTTTTTTTTTTTTTTTTTTTTAACCATCTTCAGATGGCACCGGGCCCGTCCCTACACGGTAGGTACATAGCTGCCGAATCTGCTGGTAGCATCGCACCGATGCGTTGTTCACGCCGCGAAGAGCATGAGTGGTAACTCTCGAAGGGTCTGTCTGTCTTGACGTCCTCCTTGAGAATTCCTGCGCGCCTTTTCGGAACCCTATGTACGAAGAGGGACTGGAGAGGCCGGCGCTTCGCGGTCTGGGATAGAGATGCAAGAGAATCGCTGGGGTGAATCGATCTCTGCGCTGCTGTCTTCTGAGCGTGGCTCCAACGTTTCCGTCGGGATTCACCGCGGTTGCAAGATCTGCTGTGGACAGAATGCTGTGTGATGTCTGGGTTATTAGAAAGGGCCCGACGGAGTGTCGTTTTCATGGAGAAGATCACGGCAGCGGTTTCTGGCATCCATCCCCCTACGGTTTGAGCGTCTTGAAAGCTTGCTAGTTGCCGACTAGTGATGCGTGCTTGTGGCCCCGAAGCAAGCTCGGGACGAGAGAGGAAAGTCTCCAGCGGTCGGTCTCGGAATTCAAATGCTGTGGAGCAGCGATTTCCATCCAGTACGTGCAAGAGAAGTCGTATCGTGTATAGACATAAAAGCCGGAGGACTTTTTTCTTATTGCCAAAGAAGGCATCGCTGCCACCCATTTCTAAAATCTGCCGTCGTATCTGAGTAACAGGTATAAGGTCAGTCCCAGAACGAATCAGCCCTGATTTGGAATCACACAACGGAGTTTAATCCGACCATGGTATTGAGATCATTCAAGTGACGCGGTCTACACGGCATGGGATAAGAGAGTCAAAGAGTCCTGACTGTGGAAGAAACCCGTCGTCTGAGAAGCATTATTCAATCCTTATTATAGGTCACGGGATGCGAGGATGGTTGATTCCTTAGCCTGTACGTTGCGAGGCTCTTGATGTTTTACTTTATCTTGTATAAAAATCAGCCCCGGGGAGACATATTCCAGCGGAGCCACTCCGGAAAACCAGGGAGGCGCGCTGTCGCCAACACACCAACGAAAGGCATCCAGCCCGCTGATTGTAAGTGGGCACTGCGCGCCGCGAGATACGATTGGAATAGACCGTCTCCGCCGGCCTTACTATTTATCTGCAGACTCTTCTTCGCTTAAAGCCCCTCAGATCATAATAACTAGCGTTCAAAATACAGACACCAAAAAAAAAAATACCTCCCCCTCCCCCC